ATCTACATCAGATCCACCATGTTCATCAATGATGTTGCCCAAATATGTAAGGGTTTTCACATCTTCCAAATCTTTTCCGTCAATTGTGATTGGATTGGTGTATTCTCTGTTATATCGGAGAATCTTGCTTTTCCTTTTGTGTATATTGAGACCTACTGATGCTGAGGCTGCTGCTACACTGATCATTTTCTCCTACATTTGCTGTTGCGTTTGTGATAGGAGGGCCAGATCATCTGTGAAGTCTATATCGTCCAACTGCATCCTAGATGTCCATTGTATCCCGCACTTCCCTGCAGATGTTGACGTCTTCATGATCCAGTCGATGATCAGGAGAAAGAGAAGGACTGAGAGTAAGCAACCTTGCCTAACACCGGTCTTCACTTCGTATTGTTAATAATACTATCTGATATATATATTTATGATTAAATAGCAAACTGGGGCAATCCGGTTAGAATGGTCAAATGTCAATACAGTTTGATCATTTACAATCATTGAAATGAATAACAAGAAAATATATACACGTTTACAAAATCTTACATATAACAACATTATCATAATCATATTGAAGATTGATCAATTTTTTTGTCAATGTTACTGACCCTTTTCTACACTTTGTCTAGTCTGATAAGAATAGTTTCAATGATTTTGTTTGTTTTTTAAATAATCTCAATTACAGTTTAATACATGAAATCATATTGTAAAGAAAGAAAAATGTTTAATCAATGTGATTATTATGTAAGAGATGATAGAGAATATTGATAGCTCAAGTGAACGATTTTGATGAAGCCAGTTTCGTCTTCTGACCTGGATGATTTTGTTAAATTCATGTTTTGATCTAAGCTAGACTATCATTAAAAACCTGGAAACATTGGATGATCGTCGCGTCCTAATATAAGATTCCTCAGAAGGGCGAATTCATTCATTCCTCGCACTTAGGACCTTCGATTTCACGCACGAACGTTTAACCTACAAACCACTGTGCTGGCATCCAACAGTATTAATGTTTAACTTCAATCGGTTCATGATCTTACATAATCCTTCATCCATTGTCTAAGGTGGATAACTGTTTTTCAAAAGTCACTGTTAAAACATCCTACTAACTTGTCAAATATTCATAGTAAATGGAAATTGAGTTAACATAATCTTGTCCTAGTTACAAAAACTGTCCTAGAATAAATTAATCATATTAAGTATTACCGGTTCATTTACTATCATTTAGTAAGCCAATTTCATTCCACTTACATAAATTAAATGAAGAAATTTTTATTAGCTCAAGTGGATGCATTTGTATTGAACGCAGTCTTGAGGATGATGACCAATTTACTTTGATAAAATATGAAAACTATGTGTTAAATACATAATTTGCGCATCTTCCATTAATTGTCCTTTACATGCTTCAGTTCTTTGATTGAGATCATGAACCGATTGATGTTAGACCACCACAATTGAAAACCTGGAAGCACTGAACAGCCGTTTCGTCCTATAGTGGGACTCCTCATCAGTGCGCATCCACGATCCCGCTCGCGGGATTCGAACCCGGGGACTTCGAACGCTTAACCTAGTGGACCACTGAGCCGGCATCTACTAGTGATAGTGTCCACGCTTCCAAAGGTGGTCTAACATCAATCGGTTCATGATCTCAATCAAAATACCTAATAATCTCCACAACCCCTATACTACTAATCTTTCAGTCCTGTTGTTATTACAATTACTTTCTATTTCCCTTTTTTGTTCTCTTGAATTAAATCTTCTCAATCTTCTGAAGACATGCATTCCACTTCTGACTGATGCTAGATACTACTTATATCTGTCAACATAAGTAGCATACACTACACTTTTTAGTAGTATTATATAATCTGACCTACATGAGTCAATTGCAAAACTTTAATTATTATCCGTAAATAGCATTATCTAGGTTTACTTCATGTAGAACTATTTCTAATTCAACTTATAAAGGATATAACTAGAAATGAGAGAAACATTGAATAAATCTATAATATGATATTGATACTATGAATCACATATGAAATGAATTTCATTATAACAAAAGAAGTTACACCAAAAGGATAAAAGGGTACCATGTCATCTTATCAATTGACATTATTTTCCTACAATTTCATTGTTTCAGTCATTGAAATCATCAGTCATTTGAAGCTAGACAACCATGGAAAACCTGGAAGCACTAGCCGGACTTTTCGTCTTACTATGGGGCTCCTCAACAATGCGCATCCATGACCTCGCCCCGCGAGATTTGAACCCAGGACCTATCGGTCTCGCACACGAATGCTTAAACTCTAGACTTGGTAATTGTCCCTCTATCAATAGTTTGCATAAATACCATTTGTGATTGTGCTTCAGTAGTTCAAAGTACTTTACTTACCTACTATCGTGAAAGCCAAGTCAAGTGCCTACTTGTTTGTTATAATTCGTGCTAGAAAATAGATATTCATTTTAACATCAATTGTTTCAAAAGTTTTAGAATCAGATAGTTCATAATAATCGAATAAACAGAAGTGTACTAAATTGCAGGTGATGCAACCCTATCTCAGGTCCTGCAGTTGAACTCACGAAACCAGAGTGATCTTTTTTCACTTGCGAAAGGAGGTACACTGAGACAGTTACATATAAAGCAGAAGATAGGCTCATATTATTGGTTGAAATCTGACCTTATCTTTCAACGAATGAGACACGTTCCATGGTTGAAAATGTAACTTTATATTGTAAGCGAGGAATATATATATATATATATATATATATATATATATATATATATATATATATATATATATATATATATATATATATATATATATATATATATATATATATATATATATATATATATATATATATATATATATATATATATTTGTGACTGAGTGTATAAATATTTGCGATTAGGTTTTAGTCAACAAACCTTCCTTCTTACTCAATCCTCCGGTTTGATCTCATATATAGGCGGCTTGTAGATCAGTATCAAAGTTGGACAATCTCACAACATAATAGTACACTAGTGCATTTGTATTGATTGTCTGGATCTTTCTGTCGTTGTTTATAGCGGCATTGGGTTGAATCGTGGAGTAAGCATCAAATCTAGGGATACAGGTACTTCCGATTGACAGGTCCCAAATAAGAAGGAAAATACGTCCTTGATTCCTTGGTTAGCCAACATCCACATCTGTTTATAATTGTATACTGTTTTTTTCTACTGAAAATACTCTACTTCTGTGGTAAAGTATAGGTTACAGTCAAGAGAATAATTTAATGAATCAGAACTACAGTGTTGAGAAACGCAGTTATCTGCAATAGCCATTATGAATCAACGTTCAAACTGCCATTAAATCCAACGTTGTTGATTTGAATGTATATCACATAGATTTATTCAAGAATTCCTTAGTAATAAGAAAGGACACTATAAAAAAAAACACGATTTCATCATTTTCTGGACAGATTCTTTTAGATATCTACATACTTAGGCTATAAATTTCATTTCATCTTACTGAACTATTACTTACTTACTTATGCCTGTTATCCCCAATGGAGCATAGGCCACCAATCAGCATTCTCCAACCTACTCTATCCTGGGCCTACCATTCTAGTTCTATCCAATTCTTGTTCATTCTTCTTACATATGTCTCTATTTCTCGACGTAATGTGTTCTTTGATCTTTCTCTTCTCCTTTCGCTGTGAGGATTCCAAGCAAGGGCTAGCCTTGTTGGGTTCTTTCCTCAACATGTATCCTATTCATTGTACTATTAATATATATATATATATATATATATATATATATATATATATATATATATATATATATATATATATATAAGTATTACAAGAAAACAATCCAGACATTCTAACTTTGTTTTAAAATATTTAGATCTCATCTAGACAATCTATTCAAAAACAAAAGAAATTTCACTATCGAAATTCATTTTGTTAACAATCTAGACTGTAAATAAAACCTCTGTCAAGTATATAGTTAAACTTATGATCTAATTGTTAAAATGTAAATACCTGAACTACAGAAATCATTGATTGTTTTCAACATAAAACTATTTCACTGTCAAGATTTGTTTACTCACACACACACACAACAAATATTTTATAAATGGTATTACTTAAATGTAAATTATACTATCCGAAATCTAAACATTTTAATATATATATGTTGAGGAGATCCAGAGTATTTCTCGTAACATCCCAAAGGCACATTGAAAACACTTGGAAAACGTTTGATTCATCTGAAATATGAATATATAAAGTAACCATGGAGTAATGCGGTTCGTTCTATATTTCACACTTGTTCTCTTGTATTCAAGTTGTCTTGTAGATTTAGTCTGTGTTATGACTTTATGTCCGGCTTTTCATCACATGATTTATTCACCAATCAAAATACGACTTATACAATCTTTGCACTATAACAAACCATTGAGTTTCAACCGGTATGGACAGTCTAGCGTCCTTATTGGTCCTATGTCCGCCTAGCCCATCCGCTTGAGTCCAGAACACAATACCAACTTCTGCAATATGGATCATTTATTTCAAACATACTCGGTTTATATATCCACCAAACAGACCGCATTGCACCATAAAATAGGAAATAACATTTATACACAATAAAGCCAAAAAGTGACTGTGAACGTGGGAGGTAGTAGTCAGTAAACTGAACATAGTAGCTTCAGAACCGTAAATCGTACAATAATAAATTATAGGTCAAAATGAAGCTTATAATAAGAGGAATATAAATAAACATAATCTAATTGTTGAATAGTTACACCATATGAATGTATAGATAATATTAGTCAATTAATAGATCTCAGAAGTCACTCGTGATTTAATCTTCTCTCGTATATAACAGTCTGAGGTTATAGGAAGAGTTAAGGAAATCAATTAAATCGTTTTATATCAGTTTAATGGACATGATATATATCTAAAGTCATTTTGATTCATAGTCATATCATTCCAATTATTATTAACTTAGTGATTATCTCTGCACTTTTATGCGAATGATGTAATCAACTAATGATGTTTTATTGTTGTTGTTGTTGTTGATTTAGATGTAAAATTGAACTTCAAATGAATTTAACTCATTTTCAATATGATCTATTAAATCAATTCAAATCACTTGGACAATTGCTTGCTCCATTTGAAGATGGTGGTATTTTAAATTATTTATTTGAACAAATTACTATTAATAGTAGTAACAGTAGTAGTATTGATAGTAGTCTATTACATAATGATATGACATCGATTTATGATAATCAATCAATAAAATTATTAAAATTGATTGAAATCAATGATATATTTACATTTTTAAGTAATACAATTAATTCTATGTTATTTCATAGTATACAAAATATAAATGTCTATAATGTATTATTAATGAATCCAAATGAATTCAATACAACATTTATAAATAGTCAGAAACCATTTGTAACTAGGAAATTTATTGTCATGATTCTTATTGAAATTTTATTGATTTTTATTTGTTTTTTATTAAGTATGTGTTATTTCATTTTCTTATATCCACCTAATTGTATTCAACGGAAATCATCATTGAATTATATAAAATATTTAAAAATTACACAAGTTTTAAGAGATCCAAAGTATAAGAATGATATGAATAATTCTAATATAACTGATATGACATCAGATAGTTTATCAAATAAATATATACAAAATAATGAAATGTCAAGATATACTACTGAATGGATGTTGAGAAATGAAGAAAATATTTCAATCAATTCATCAGATATTTATATTAATGTAAGTAAACTTGATTGTTTTTGAAAATCTCCTGAATATTTTTGTTATATAATTATACTACTTTTTATTAGTTAGTAGTATATATTTTCTTGCAAAATACTGGGGATGTCAAAGAGGAAGAATGTATTTGTAAAATCTCAGCGAAAGAATTTGAAGTAAATCCAACGTTTCACCTGGCAATCTGGTCCAAATGTTTTCAAGGAAAATATAATCAAACAACAAAATTCGATTTTAGAAATACATTCTTCCACTTTAATGTCTTACATTAACTCGGCGCCCAAATATTGTGAAACTATTCGTTCAAATTTAGACGAAAGTTCTTATTTATACTGGGGATATCATTTTGTATTGGTTTTTTGAAATCTTCCCATTGATGTTTAGGACCAAAATTGATCAGTTTCTTATTGATATACGTGTATCTTGTGCGGATTGCTTCGATATTGCCTTAAGTCACGAGAACTACATACAGAGATGGATCGTGGCTAATAGTGGGATCAATTGCAAACAATGAATACTAAAATGAATGAAACTTCACAAGTTAGTGTTTATTTAGACTCAGTAGCTAAATGAATACAGAGATTGAGTTTGAAGTGAACGATATTGGGTTCGTGTTCTGGAGTGAACATCAACTCTGAGATGCAGGTACATCCGGCTGACGACTCTTAAATAAGACAAAACACACGTCCTGGACTCCACTGCCAGCCACCACCCATCTCTGTTTAAAAATGACAGTTTTAATTGGTTTTATCCTACTTGCTTAACTTAGCAGTAATAATCACGTTTTTCATTAGTCGTTATTTATATTCCCATATATGTCGGACGATCGAGATTCCATATCAATAAATTCAGTAAGGGGATTCTTATTTCCGTAATTCGTATACTTATATTTGCATTTATGGTCATCTCAAACAGAAAGCATCCTTCTCCTTGAAATGAATCAATAATTTCAAAGATGAATGACGCACTGGAAAGGCAAGTTTCCATATGTTTTCTTTTGATCAAAAAGCATACTATCTCACTAATCACGCAATTTGTATTGAAGTTAAATAATAACATTTACTTACTTACACCTGTTACCTCTCGTGAAGGGACGTAAGGACCCTCTTAACTCTGTCCTGAGCAATCCTTTCCAGTTGTTTCCAGCTGTTATTTGTTCTTTCGATATCTGCTTCCAATTCTCAGAAAGTTGTGTCTCCTCATCTTCTTCTTTTCCTCTTCCTTTCAGGATTCCAAGTTAGGGCTTGCCTCGTGATGCAGTTTGGTGATTTTCGTAATGTATGTCCTATCTACCTCCATAGTCCTTTCCTAATTTCCTCTTCAGTTAGAAGCTGGTTTGTTCTCTGCGGTAGTGGGTTGTTGTTGGTTATACCGACCAATGGATCTTGACTATCTTGTGTAGATAATTGTCAGTACATACTTTTACTATTTCGATGATGGATGTAGTAGTTGTCGAAGTTTCAACTCCATACAATAGAACTGTCTTGACGTTTGTATTGAAGATGCTCACTTTGATATTGGTTGACACTTGTTTTGAGTTCCATATGTTCTTCAACTGTAGGAATGTTATCCTTGCTTGCAAATCTTCGCATTTACTCCTGCATCAGATCCTTCACGTTCATTAATGTTTCAGATTCAGATTTGTGTAGTAAGGACAGAATTGATGATTCTGTGTGAAAACCTGTATGCTACCCAGATATGTGAAACGTCGCATCTCTTCCAGAGTTTCTCAATCAAGTGTGATCGGGTTAGTGTTCTCCGTGTTGTATTTGAGGATCTTGCTTTTTACCTTGTGAATGCCGAGGTCTACTGCTTCAGAGGCTCTTGATACACTGGCTTTCTTGACCTGCATTTGTTGGTACGTATGGGATAGAACGGCTAGGTCATATGCGAAGTCCAAATCGTCTAGTTGCATCCAACCTGTTCCGTGCTTTCCCTTAGATGTCAAGGTCTTCATAATCCAGTCAACTATCATATGAAAGAGAAATGGAGAGAGTAACAACCTTGTCTGACTCCGGCTTTCTGTTGGAATACATTTGTCAACTGTCCTCTATGCACTACTTTGCAGTGTAGTCCGTCGTATGAATTCCGGACGATAGTGACGATTTTCTCGGGCACATCACACTGTCAAAGAATCTATAGGATTCTCCTATCAACGCTTTCAAACGCCTTCTCATAGTCAAGGAAATTGATGTATAGATTCACTCATCTGATTGTTCAACAATGATCCGTAGTGTCGCTTCTATGATCCCTTTCTAGTTGTCTTTTACAGTAATTTCCCTTTTGAATAAATGCTGTTGGGCTTGGAACCTGATGTTACCAGTTATCTTGAACTCGTTGAGTTTGTTAGTATCTCGATGGAAGGCTGTATTGAACCCTTATAATGTTGTTTCTCAAGTTATCCAGTGCTTCTTTAACTTTAGTTTCATCCTGGAAACTACTAGGTGGTGATCTGAAGCTATGTCAGCTCCTCTCCTGGTTCTCACATCTTCCACCGACCTTCTGAATTTCTTGCTGATGCAAATATATTCATTCTGACACTCTGTAGCGTGATCCGGTTAGACCCATGTAGCTTTGTGTATGCGTTTGTGGGGAATAAAACACGTCTATAACCATTTTGTTAAATGCACATAAATTTACAAATCTCTCACCATTCTCGTTCCTTTTCCCAGTCAGTCCATGTCCTCCCACGATATCTTCATACCCGATGTTGTCCATTCCGACTTTGGCGTTTAGGTCTCTCATCAGGGTGATCAGGTATTTTACTGGGCACTTCGTTATGATTGATTGTAGCCTCTCATAGAACTGTTCTTTACTGTCGTCGTCGCTATCATTGTTGGGTGCATAACATTGGATAACATTTATTGTGATCCCTTCCTTCTTTGTTTCGAAGGACGATTTAATGATTATGGATCCATGGGTTTCTCATTCCATAAGTACATTTCTTGCTTCTTTGGACGGCATCAGAGCAACTCCCTAAGTGTGTGGAACATTCTCCTCTTCGTTACCGGAGTACAGCAGCATCTCTGCCGTATCTATCCTTTGCTGTTCAGCTTGGGTCCAATGAGTTTCGCTGATCCCGAGAACCATCAAGTTGTATCTCCTCATTTCCGTTGCTATTCGACTGGTCCTCGCGGTCTCTCATATTATCCGGATATTCCATATACCTGTGTTAGTTGTTGCTATGGTTGTTAGAAGAGACATCGACCTCATGACTTCCGAAGGAACTCAGCTTTCATCATAAGGTCTCATAACTCATGAAGATCCTTCAAGTCGGATGGCAGAGTTTGAATGGAATTCATTTTTGAATAAGTCTCAGTTTGTGAATAAGTAATAAAATTGTTTAAGGATTTGCAATAATTCTAGTAAATTATTAGACAAATATAATTGAACCTTATTTGAATGAATCAGCTATTCTGTGAAAAGGATTGCCTTGAATTTTTATTGTGTACATATACATTGTAAATGTAGACTTCTTAAAAGATTTCTATTCCCACTATTTAGTTGATTATTTAATAAAATACTAGTGTTATTATCTTGAAACAAAGCAACTGAACTTTTTCAGCACGTGAATTATAGTTATCTGTCTTTATTCATGGTATAGTGTACGAGACTTCAGGTGAGGATAATCTAATTCATTCTTAAGTGCAAAATGACATAGTACCTGCGCAAATTACGAAGATCATACATTAAACGTATATGATTCTGTTGTTATTCCAACTGCTCACGTTTTCCCTTCCTATTCTCTTGAATTCAATCTTCTGTTGACAGGTACTCAACTTTATACTACTTATATCTGTCAACGTACGTAGCTTACATCGCATTAGTATCAATTCCAAAACTACGAATTTTTTCCACTAATTTTATTTTTGGGTTTAGAGTGATATTCTGGATGGATCAATGTCAGATCACCATTAGAAACCTGGAAGCACTGAACGGCCATTTCGTCCTAGTATGTGATTCCCGCATGCGCGATTGATTGAAGTTAGCCAACTCAATGGTCCAGAGATTGAAGGTCCACGCACGAGACCCAAGGTCCTATGTTCGCATCCTGTGTGCGAGATACTAGGATGAAACCATTAATCCAGTACTTTCAAGTTTTCAATAGTGCTCTATCATTAATCCATTCATAATATCAATCTAACGTCAACAATCTTTACAATCCTTTACTAATAATTATTTTATTTTTATACATATAGGATCCAACATACAATCGTCAACTATCTAAAAACACTTTAACAAATTCTATTAATTCATCAACATTCACTAATCATAATGAAATACAACAACCAATTCAAAATCAAATCCCTTCATCAATGATGATGAACTCATTACAATTCTCTAGTCAATTGAAAGTATATCTTATTTTAAAAATAATAGTCTATAGTTTAATTTGTATAAATATATTCCTGAGTATAGTATGTTTCTATGCAATGGATAGTAGTTTTATACATTTTCAACCTAGATTCATAGATAATACAACAAATCCAACTGTAAAAACATTCAGAAATTTATTAATGAATGAAGTTGTATATAAATTACCTGAATATTTACAAGAGATTATCACTCAAGGTCAAATGTATACAAATCAAACATTTGGAATCATTGAAAAAGAACTTGATGTAAGTTTGATCAGGAGGGGGATTTTGTGGAGAATGTAGTAATTTCAATAGTTGAGATCAAGTTTTTCATAGTGATCTAGCTTCAAATCACTCATGATCTCAACTATTTAAAATAGGAATTGTTTTGTAGTTATTAAGTGTATGTTTTATTATAGGGATACTACCCCTAACTTAGGGTTTGAAAAGTCGGAAAAATGAAAATTTCGCAAGTGCGATAAAAATGATCTTGGTGGTCTAATTATAGTATTCCGACATCAGACAGTGGGTTTTAAGCTGGGCTATTTCGCTTACTAACCTGTACATGCGTTGTATGCAGTATAAGCTATGTGGCTATATAGAGCTGAAGGTCTCATATGAGACTGGAGGTTCGCCATTGGTATTGTGGATGGTTCAGCATTGCTTTGGCAAGTTTTGCTGGCTGTTCATGCACAAAATTGGTTTGCTGCTTAACCGATTTCATTCATACTGGTGGTTGCTTTTCAGTGTTCCCGAGGGCCATTGTCATTGGGACATTGTAAGGCATGCCTCCATTGCTAACATTAACGAGTTTGACTGTCGTGTAAGCGGAATATGTCAATTTTGACCTGTTCGTGCTGTGCATAATTGATTCACGCGATCATTGGTCGGAATAACTATACACGTGGTGTGTGTGTATATGAATGGTGCGAATGGTCCACCAGGGTGCTTGGTACCTGTGTGGTTGCGCCACAGGATTGAGCTGTACTATTCAGATTGTAGCGTTAAAGCCTGTACATTGTCTGGTTCCCCTGTTAAACGGGGTTGAGCTGTATTGTTTGGGTTTTTAAGTGAAAGTCCGGATGGTGTCTGGTTCTCCTGAAAACCAATGTAAAATTACACTGGCCTACAAGGGTATATTATATAACTATAAATAAACTAATATAATGTTCTATTATAATTTGTCTCTTATATAAATTTGTGAAGAATATGGAAAAAAAGGCGAAGATAAAAACGGTATGGGAACAAACAAAGATAAATGTCACATCAATTCATTTGGTGTTGTTTTACTTGTATCTTCTCACTGTTATTTAGGACTGCAATTGACCAGTATCATGTTCGAATATGTGCATGCTGTGCGGATTGCCTAGATATATATAACTATCACCGAGACACCGAACTATACAATCAGAACGGAGACACATAAAACAGTACGAGCAGCCTAGAGTTCTTATTGATCCCTTGGGATAGTAGCTTCTCGCCTAACCCAGCCGGTTCAGTCCAGAACGCAAATATCAACCTTCGTTATATGAATCATATATTTAAGACATACTGGATTTACATACAAACAAACCAAACAGCATTAAAAATAATAATTACACAAACTCAGGCCAAAATGTGACTATGGCTATGAGAGACTGTAATTAATAAACCGGACATAACTTAAGTATAATAAATCGTATAATGGTAGTCAATAGGTCAAATAAGAGCTTATAATATTAGGGAAATGGGTATACATATAATATAGTTATTTAGTGGTTATACAATAAGAATATAAATAATAACAGTCCATACATAGATCCTAACAAATACCACTTATAATTCTTCGTCCGGATGTAGCAGTTTTGAAGCGAAATATTCATTGCTGTCGTGGTGATAAGAATGATGGCAACCTAGATTGATACTCATTCATCCCGAGCCTTACTCCCTTTATAGCTGACTGATTGACACGTTAAATTAGATAATCGATTTCACGACACAGTAGAAATTGTCTAAATGAAAGCATATACGACAATTATATTATTTCACAATTAGAATGAAGGTTTGAAAAGATTGTAGTGATTTTTAATAGCTGAATTCATAATTCGATTTAAGCTAGACCATCCTGCATGAGGGATCGTGAATCCGCACTGCTGAGGAGTCCCGTGCTAGGACGAAACGACCGTTCACTGATTTCAAGTTTTCGGTGGTAGTCTAGCTTAAATCGACTCATGAATTCAATTATTAAGTATTCATAATTATTAATGTAATTCTATAACTGAGTACCTTTCTTCTCTCTCATTTAGAATCAGTTATTGATAACTACTGAAAAGATAATCCAATCATTGCTTGAAACATATCAACTATCACCTGTGATTGAATCAGCTGAATCGATTTCTTATAGTATCAATGAAACAGTAACAGCTAGTCAAATTATTAATGTACATCAGAAGACACTTCAACAAGATATGAACAGTTATATTGGTGAATTACGTGGTTATGCTAATATATTGAATAAAACATTAGATTCAATATGTGGAAAGTTGAATGAAAATACCTTAGAAAAAGTGACATGTAAACAGTTACAAGTAAGTTCATTTCATTAGATTAATATTGTCATCAAATAAGTGGTTTGTATATAGAAATTGAAGTGAAAATGTTTTCAAGTTTTAATTAGATGGTTTATAGAAGATGGTAAACTGTATTCGTCACGAACCTTAAAAGTACTGAAAGTTAGGGAGCATCGGAAAGATGTTCTGTTATGCTATAGGATACGTTATTAGTACTAATTCACAACTTAATACAAATTTTAACGCAAAACACTGACTATAGCAAAGCGATTAATTCTTGAAAGTGACGATCTCGAAAGCTATTCGAGGTGTGTGGAGAGTTGACACTTCCCTGTTGTTAATATTATGCAAGGGTATCTCATGATGAGGTATCTGGAAAGGAAACTAGATCGACATTGATCTTCGAAACCTGAGAATGTGATAGGAAAACTTAAACTATAACTGATCGAGACCGATTACACACGGCCATTATGTGAGTAGTTATTAATGTATAATATCTGTGCTTTAAAGACTTTATCACAGGGGAGGAAGACATTGGGACAGGATTGACTGATCTATTTTTTAGGATGACCCATTTCAAACCGTTTCTTCCGTTCAGCGAAGGTAGCATCTCTGCAAGTACTAGTTATCCGAGGGAAACACATAACAACCATCAAAACTTAGTACATTTAAATGTACAACATCTGCTTCGGGCAATAAGCAGACACTTATTGTTTTATCGCTTCTCGACCGATCAATCTAGCATGATACTATATAAAGGATTATGTGTTACAGTCAAAGCAAATGACATACTAATTTACAAATCAACTACCTACTACGTTAATTTATAGTTGAGCCAACTTATTTCAATGAATTCGAGATATTTTGAATCAAACACGATTGACGTTCACTGATGTACTTTTCATCTTCATTCATTAAGTACTGGAATGCTGCGCCTACACTTCAATATTTAGTGAACACTTTCCAGAAATTTCATATGATTCTCCTCATTCACAGATTTGAATTCTTTAAGCAATAAATTGATATTAGCTAGATCGTCATCGAAATCTGGGAGTAATGAACGATTGTTTAATCCTATTATGAGACATCTCAACCATGAGTATCACAATCACCGAACTGGGAATTATTTGGTTGTCTAGCTAAGATTAGGTCATGATTGAAACTATGAAAATCCACTAATCTCTACAATCATCTCCCCTATACTAATGAATTTAAATATGGTTTCTCATTACATGATTATAACCTAAACATGATAGAATTATTCGGTAAAAATTTTCTCCCGGAACTCTCACTTTATTTAACATTGAAATATTCAACCATTTACACAACTATTACAATTCTTCCATACTTTCGCTTTCTCTTTCTCTCTACAATAATCTTGATTGAGGAGAACATTCCCAATAGTATGGTGTAAAGTAGACATACTAATTTTTACTGAATAATTCTATCATGTTTAGGTTGTAATCATTTGATGAGAAACCATGTTTAAATTCATTAGTATAGGAAAGATGACTGTAGAGATTAGTGGATTTTCATGTCTTGATTCAAACTAGATCATTGATGCCGTCCAGTGCTTCCAGATTTTCAATTGTGATTGATCTTGGATATACACTTCTGAATTATCTCCTACTAAGACGAGATTGTCATCTAGTGTTTTCAGATTTTCAAAGAATGATCAAGCATAAATCAATTCGTAAATTTAAGAATATTATTTCAATATTTGAGATCATGAGTTCATTGAAGCTAGACCACCATAGAAAACCTAACAGCACTGGATGGCCATTTCCTTCTATCATGAGACTCCTCAGTAGTGCACAACCACGATCCTACCTCGCGAGATTCCAACCCACGACCTATCACTCTCGCGTGAGAGCGCTTAATCACTAGACCACTAAGCCAACCGGTATCTAATCGTGTTATTGTCTAACTTTAACTAATCCATGAAATTGAGCGACATATCCACTATTATCACCATTGAGGTACTATCTCAAGACAGCCCCCGTTGAACTCCACTGGTCACTGCTTCCAGTTTTTTCCATGGTAGTCTAGCTTCAATTGACTCATAATCTCAACTACTGAAATGACTACAATCTCCACAAAATCCCTTCTGATTATTATTATTATTATTATTATCGTTTTTACAATATAGATTAATCAATAATTATTGATTGGTTTATTGATTTTTTTGTTTCAGTTCAATAATTCAATTTTATTAATCAATGTTGATACAAAATTATTTGAATTTGAATCCAGTTCAATTTTGGTATTTTTAATGAATGATTTAAATATTAGTTTAAATTCAATAACTGATCAATTTAATCGAATTAAAAATTTATTAAATTTAAAAAAAGATGAAGTGATTCAAAGTGTAAGTGAATTTTGGTTTTGTTTATATAAATAAGTAAGAATTCAATGATCAATAGTTTTTTTTTATTATTTTGAATAAAGAAGAATCATGAAAGTAATTCATCTGTCGAATTAACATCAGTTGGATATCGGCCAGTTTAATGGTCTTGTATATGAGATTGATAGGTTCTGGGTTGAAATCTTTTATGGTAGGATCATGGATACGTACTACTAAGAAGTTATACAATAGGATGAAATGGCCATGTAGTGTTTTTAGGTTTTTCATGGTAGTCTAGCTTCAATTAACTTATGATCACAATTATTAAAATTACTATAACATTCACAAAAACTCCTTCTGACATGCATAAATAAATCATTTTTGGAGGTCTATATTCGATATCATTGTCTATAAACTTTCTATAATATTCATCTTGATAATCGTTACTAGATAATGCCTTCCCTCCCACACACACACACACACAAGGGTGTATAAATCAGAAGATGAATAACGAAGTGTTGATTACATTGATTATTGCATCACACACATAGATCACCAAAACCACAAGTACATGAAGTAAGAATGATATGCGAGTGCCAAACAATAAGCGAGCAAATCAATGAACAAGATTAAAATGTACATATATATATATACAACAATAATAATAAAAGTACAATCGTATGGATAAGTTGTTGTTGTACGAATGATTCTATCTGTTAAATAAGTCAATAAATGGGCTTAACCAAATTAAATATGAACAAACTCAATCGTATATGAGTTACTATACATTATTTTATTTGAAAAGATTTTATAGAGATTAGTTTAACTTGTCACTTGTATTTATCACTCACTTGATTTCATTTAAAGTAGTATTATTCATTACAGAATACTAGATTACTGTTTCTCTCTAGTATGCCATCAATCTTTCTAATGATCGAATTCAGGATATTTAGGTCATGTCAATTCAATAGTTTTAATTGTTAATCATTTACTATGAAAATTGAAAGCCTCACTTTAGACTATTATTCATGAGATCATAATTTCTTATTGTTGAAGAATCTGATACCAGAATAGAGCAATTATTCATTATTTACTGGTTGTCATTAGCATCTTAAGGGAAATCAATATATGACAAGCATTTACAGGTTTCATTATTTACAAAATATATTCTCTTCACTAAAACACATATTTTGTAATTGTTTAATTGGCTAATTAAACAATTGTTATTTAGTAATTTAATAAGCGAGTTCATGAGTTAATTGAAGCTAGACCACCATGGAAAACCTGAGAGAACAGGACGGCTGTTTCGTCCTATTGTGGGACTCCCCAGCAGTGCCTCCTAGGACCTGTTGGTCTTGAGAGCGAACGCTTAACCCCTAGATCACTGAGCTGGCCAGAATCCAACAGTGTTAATGTCTAACTTCAACCAATTTAGTAGTTGGAAATTAATAACATATCTATCATAATGATATTTGATGTCATACATTTTAACATTATATTTGATTTAATCTCAATAACTGAAACCCAACTGATTCCAACAATGCTGTATCAACAAGGTTGTCTAGTTAAAAGTCAAGATAAAAAAATCCTCAATGAATATATCATGTTTACAAACTAAATCTACACTAAAACCCTTATCCAATCAATAGGAGAAACCGATTTTGATAAAAAAATGTAATTTCAATGTAATTTCAAGAGTTCACAAAAGTTTCAAAAATTTAATGTGTGAAAATTTACTGAGTTAAAAAAGTATGTTGAGTTAAGGGATCGGAAGTATACTGACAGTCTCAAGTGGGTCTAAATGATCAATCAATCAGACATAAAATTTCGTAACTCAAATGTATATAAGCATGGAGTTGCGAAGATAGTTGAGTTTTTATGGAGATCATGGAGTAGTCAATGCTAGACCACCATTAAAAAAGTGGAAGCACTGAACGGTCGTTTCGTCTTAGTAGGAGCATCATCAGCAGTCCACATCTATGATCTTGCACGTGCAACTCGAACTTAGGGTCATGGAAACGCACCACTGAGGAGTCTCTTCCTAGAATAAAACGTCAATTCCGTGTTTCCAAGTTTTCGACGATGATCTAGCTTAGATCGACTGTTGAACTCAATGAAATCGATATCACAGAATAAAATTAAAATTAAAAAGAATGTAGAGTTTTGAAACCCTAATATCGTAAATGTTTTAGCCTAACTCTAACACTTCTAAAACATCTTCATCTATGAATATCGTGACTTCTCTTCACATCATATCTTGACAACAGCTAAATACGTTAGGTATATTTTCTCAATAGTCCAACAATATGAAGATGATCATGGATCATATCATTATGCAGATTACTCAAAATGTAAAATCTCATCAAAAAATTAATATCCAGTTACAAGATATCTGTAATTCAGTCAATAATTGTTATCTTTATTTTGATTGGTTAATTTCATTTGTTTCAAGGTCATCAGTTTGGTATTTAATATAAGAGGGATGATCAGTCAACAAAAAAGAAGATTCCAATAATGTAATATTTATAATCATTGGGGGGGGGGATTGGAACTGTAAATATTAGTTATTTAAGTCAGTAATAAATGGAAAACTATTTCTTCTACAATGAATACTTTTAACCTGAGTATTTTTTAAAATGATTTCTGTTTCAGGGAAAAGTAATAAACTTGTATTGTTTTTCATCAGTATGGGGGTTGTGGAGATTGTTACGTTTTTCGGTTGAGATCATAATGTTAGACCACCGTTGGAAACCTGGAAGCACTGGACGGCCGTTTCGTCCCAGTATGGGACTCCTCAACAGTGGACATCAACGATCCCACTCCCCGCGAGACTCGAACACAGGCGCTTAACCAACTAGACCACTGAGCCGGCATCCAATGGTGTTAGTGTCTAACATCAACTAACTCATGTGGATCGTGGATGCGCGTTGTATTGCTTTGTTGATGAATTGTTTTGAAAGCATTAATAATAATGTTATCTATCGTTTAGAGCTGTAACAACGTTAAGTCCCAAGTTCTATTAGACCATAACTATGAAATGTAAACGTGTACTCATTTCTCTACTCTCCTAAAAAAATATGTAGTTTTTGTTATAACTTGTGACCGCCGATTAGAGGGCAGTGACTTATCAATCGGACCAAGGATGCGTAAACCCGTACGAGCAGTCTAGAGTCCTGATTAGTCCTGCCTTCCGCCTAGCCCAGCCACTCAAGTCCAGAACACCAATCTCAGCCTCTGCAATATGAATTCTTATATTTCAAACATACTGGATTTATATACCAATCAAACAGACCACAACGTATCATAAAATAGAAAATAACATTTGTTCAAAATTTGGTCAAGTGTGGCTATGAATGTGGGAGGCAATGACTAATAGACAGAGCATAATTCAAGAATGGTAAAACGTATAATAATGGTTTATAGGTTAAAATAAAGCTTATAATAAGAGGAATATGAATATGAATAGTTTAGTTATTTAACAATTATACGATAAAAATATACGTATAGTATTGGTTCATAAATGGATCCCAAAGTTACCATTCATTATGTTTAACAATTTGAGACATAAATCCAAACTGATATTTAAAATTAAAGACAATAGGAAAGAGGAAATTCGTCAGATTTTATTTATCTTAGGAAATAGGTTATTTTATGTCATATGAATAACCTTACCGATACAGTGGTAACCTTCACTGGTGTATTAATTAAGTAATCGACTAATCTAATAACTTCAATATTATTGAAAACAATCTGTAAAAATTAGTCTTCTTTTCAATTATATTATATTCTGTAAACAATGATGGATAGTGGCTAGCAGTGGAATCCAGTTTGACGCGCGTTTCGTCCTATTTGGGACTCGTCATCTGGATGTACCTGCATCAGTGTTGATGTTCACTCTGGGACTCGAACCCAGTATCATTCGCTTCAAACGCCATCGCGTTATCCACTTTTAGCTACTGAGTCCTGATAACCACCTGCTTGTGCAATGAGGTGAATTTAAATTCACTTGGTATTGTTTGGCTTGTATTTTCACACTGAGGTTTTACGACTGCAATTGATCAGTTTGTTATTGGCATATGTGCATACTGTGCGCATGCCTCGATATTGCCTTAATTCACAAGCTTTTTGTAAGCAATTATATTATATTCCTAATATATTTGGATATATCTCAATTATTTCAATTACTTCCTTTAGCTTCTCGTTAACAATTTTAAGTGGAAGGGATTAACTAAAATCTTCATACCACTTAAATATTGCTTGATATTTTTTGTAAAAGTACATTAGGAAAGTGAATCGTCATTATGTAATCAATCCTATTTGACTGAAGATAGATTATATCGATTAATGTATCAAAAGACTTATTCAGTATTGCCCCCCTCAAAATGATTATCCCTTTCGATCAGTTATAAACGGCATAAGGTTCAGCATTATTGTAGAAAGTAAAAAAAATCAATAAAATTGTAGCGAACACAGAAATCATATTTAAAAATGGAACAATTTAAAAATTCATAAGAAAACAATAACTAAATCCATTTCGGTCGTTGAGATTGATTCAAAATTATGTAAATTAACAATAATGTGCCAAACATCAAATTGCTAATTTGGAATCTTGAGGATGGAACGAAAAAGAGGAAAGTTAAAAAACACACTGCATCGAGGACTGGTAGCAGAAATGAAAAGGATGAATAGCAACTGGAAAAGGTGGTCCAAGACATAGTTGGATGAAGAATACTAGTGGGTTGTCCATCCTCTACCTTGAAGAGTAACACGCGTATGTAAGTAAGTAAGTGTCAACTAAGAACTTGTCACCTTCCAACAGAACTTAAATCATTAGTCAATGACTTGATCAATTCATATTATATAGTCTAATTATGCTTTGTAACAAGGCAAATTATTCCGTTTTCATTACTAACTATTTATCTGGATAATTCATATTTATCTCCTTATAATCATGTTCAATATGAATACAAACATGTTTCAATCTTAATTTTCCATAGTTTCCTAGATAAGCCTCTTCAACTGTACAATTTTATATAAGATATACACTGTTATTGTATTGTTCATTTGAATAACAAATACACAAGCTGACATTAAATTTACTTGATAATGATTACGAAAATCTATCGATTGTTGTTTAACACTTCAATCGTTTGATTGTTGATCGAGGCAAGACAAATATTTTCCATAAATATCAACATTTCATCATCACTTCAATGGTCAGTGTATGACATGGTGTCGTAGTATGAAAGAAAGCTGTAAAGGGCTGGTTTGTGTTGGTCCTTCACAACTCCCTCGCTGGGGTCCTAGAAATGGTGCAACACAGTGGCTAGAAACGTCATCAGATATGGCTCAGAATAGAAGCTAGTGGCGATCCTGCTGTAACCTTCTTTTACTTTCTTCAGAAAAAATGTTTGTTTCTTCCTTAAATGAAAGATTTCGTCTGGTTGGGCCTTTCCGTTTCCCCCATTATTATTATTATTATTATCATCATTACACTACCTTACACTAATCTGTTCGTTATTGTTCTTTTTTTCTCTTCGAATTCTAATTTTTTTGTGTAGCGCATATATATTTGGTGCCCTCTTGTACCAATATTTATGTGTTCAAATAAATAAATAAAATTAACACTTCTACTGATCAGTCACTTATTGGCATATGTGCATACTGTGCGCATTACCTTGATATTACCTTAATTCATAAGCTTTATAAGCAAAGGTAAATAGTGGTTAACAGTGGAATCCAAGACGCGCGTTTCGTCCTATTTGGTACTCGTCAGCTGAATGTATCTGCATCGGAGAGTTGATGTTTACTCTGGGACATGATCCCAGTACCGTTCGCTTTAAACACCATCACGTTATCCACTTACCTACTGAGTCCTAATAGTCACTTGCATATACAATAAGATGAAGTTTATATTCACTTAATCCCAAAGTGAATATCAACTCTGAGATGCAGGTCCATCCAGCTGACCAGTCCTAAACAGGACAAAATGCTCATCTTGGATTCCAAAACTATCCATAATAAATTTTTGCTTTTAAACCTCACATTAATTTTATTGATCTCATATTTTCTCTTTTCTTCTTCTTCTTTTTGTTTTTCTTGTTTCAGATGAAATCAACATTCAATTTGAATGATTACTTCAATCTATTTACATCTATATGGATATTATTACAACATAATATTGTGGATAAATTAAATTCATATTTAACTATCAATAAACAACAAGAAATTGATCATTATTTAAAATTAATTAGTTATGTAATATCTATCATTGGTTATGTAATCATTACATTGATATTAATGTTAATTACATTCTTCTTAATTTATTGTATACTTTATATAGTTGATATTTATAATAGGAATTTATTTACTAAACAAAATGGTATAAAATGTAAGTTTCTTTTTTTCTTCAATATTTGGATATAATATGTTTTGATAAGAAAAAGGGGATTTTTGTTGAGAGATTGTTGTCATTTTAATAGTTGAATTAGATGGTGGTTGGAGGTAGTCGATAGGAAACCCTGGACTCGGGTTTCGTGCTACTTGGCACTCGTCAGCAAGGTGTATCTGTAATCTTGAAGGAACTGGTGCCCCCTGGCGGATTCGACCCTATGTCACCCAGCTTCATAGTCAGAGACGTTACTACTGAGCTATCCGGGTCGCGACTGAGCTCCTGTAGGACTGAGACGTAATCACACCAGGAAGCATCAGTTCCCTCAAGATTACGGGTACACGTTGCTGACGAGTGCCGAGTAGCACGAAACCCAGGTCCAGGGTATCCTGTCGACTACATCCAACCACCATCTAATCTCAATACATAGTGCCCGCAATGTCGAGTCACCTAGACTGGTGGCCACATTGCAATATGGTCGATAAGAACTTGACACACATGACATTGATCACCACCCAGTGATCAACCAATCGTAATAGTTGAATACATGAATCAATTAAAGCTAGATGATTACGAAAAATCTGGAAGTAATAGATGGCCATTTTATTTTAGTATGGGACTCTTAAGCAATGCATATTTGGTGGATTGGTTGAAGATAGATACTAACACTGTTAGATGTCGACTTAGTGGTTTAGAGGTTAAGCGGTCGCGCGCGAAAATGACAGGTCCTGGGTTTTAATTGCGTGATGGAAATCGTGAATATGCACAGCTGAGGTGTTCCATACTAGGACAAAACGGTCGTTCAGTGCTTCTAGGTTTTTCATGACGGTCTAAATTTAAATGACTCGTGAATCCAACTAATAAATTATTTCATCAGAAGGGGTTTCGTGGAGATTTTAGAAATTTTACTGATTAAAATCATGAGTCAGTTGAAGCTAGAGCACCGTGGGTTCGAATCTCGCGGGGTGCGAGATCGTGGATACGCACTGCTTAGGAGTCCCACACTAGGACGAAACGGCCGTCCAGTGCTTCCAGGTTTTCCACGGTGGTCTAGCTTCAATTGAATCATAATTTCTATCAGTGATATTAAATCATTTGTTTTGTTAATAAGTTTTTGTATAAATGATTTTCAAAAATATTCTAAATGAATAACACCTTAAAGACTTATATTAATATTTCCAGAGAACATAGTAACTTACACATCTAATAGGGTATCTTGTTAATATAGGATTTCCCACATTGATTGATTAACGAAATTGGAATGATCAAGTAGTGAAAGAGAACACATTTGGGGAAAACCAAATATTATTTGAATACAAAATTACAGGACATCTTAGTAAAATCATATAGTAAATACCTCAATCGTCTCAGACTTTATTGTTCTTTCGTTTCTGCACTATTCATTCTTTGTTCTCATTCTCTTTCTTTGATCTTCTTAAACTTCTGCCTTCAGGCATTTCACTTTCATTTGATGATATATATTACTAATATTTATCGACAACAGTAGCATACACCATAATAGTACACTATTTAATAATTTGGTTCCAATATAAACTATGAACTGAAAATTGATTTTAATTGTCAACCTAATAGTTGATTTTTTTAAAAGTAACTTTTTGATAGAATCATATATTACATTGAAGAATCATCTCTTTATGATTACTTCCTTTTTTGTGGATATTATATTAATTTTAATAGTTGAGATCATCAGTCAATTAAAGGTTGTCTATAGTGATCTAGCTTCAATTGACTCATGATCTCAACTATCAAAATTACTGTAATATTCAGAAAAGCATTTCTGATATTAATTAAATATAGTGAGTTAATTCGTGTCGGGTAGAGACAGGTATCTATCTCAGTACAATGGTAGATGTTTGCGCAATTTCTTGGATTGGTTGAGGTTAAACATTAACACCGTTGGATGCCGGCCAGCTCAGTAGTCTAGAAGTTAAACATTTGCACGTGAGACTGAAAACCCTGGGTTAGAATCCTGCGAGACGGGATCGTAGATGCACAATGCTATGGAGTCCAACAATAGGACTAAACAGCCGTTCAATACTTTCAGATTTTCAATGGCGGTCTGACATCAATCGACTCAAGATCTCAATCCATAAACTAATGAATTATAGTGAATTGCATGACAAAAAAAAAAACAACAAAGAATTGACCATAATAATCATGAACTACTTTATTTATATTTCTCTCTTCAATGTTTTTCTTTTTTGTTTACAATTCTATATTTCAGATGATTCATCTCAATTATTTACTCTTCAAATTCAAGGAGAATTTCATAAGAAATTATTTCTTCTTCAATTAAATCGTTCTATCTATTTACCTCATATTATCAATTATAAACATATTCAGTATCTAACTATAACGGCTTTAATCATAAGTCTATTATTTAGTTTCATTCTATTTCTTCTTTATATGATTTTACCATTGTTAATCTTATTCGATACAGAATTATGTCGTTATCTGAATACAGATTCTGGTATATTAATTACAGATTTCATTCTTGATTTATATCTACAATATCAATGGTCAAATTTTACATTATTATCAAATGATGATTTAATAAATTATATTAATTTATCTCCACCAAAACATGTTTATTCAACAATTCGTAATCAATGTCAACCTATTATGTACAATAATCATGATCTGAATACTACTACTACTACTACTAATACTACTGATAATACTACTAACAATACTACTAATACTACTACTACTACTACTACTAATAGTAATAATAATAATAATCATACATATCGTAATTATAATTTATTAAAATTACTAAATTATAGTCAAATTATTAATTTTGATAAACTTTTATATTCATCCATAATTCAAGAGAAAATTAAAGATGCTGAAATGTATGTGATAAATTTTTATTAAATTCAATTATTTATTGATTTAAATGTGATTGGTTAGTGAATAATAATTTATATTGTTGTTTTAATAGATTGATCATTGAAGATATTGACTATTATGAGTATGGGCTTTATGAAGATTATCAAGTTCTCTGATTTAGATCATGAATCGATTGATGTGAATGTGTACTGATGAAGGGTTTCAGAATAAGGACGAAACGGTCATCCAGTATTTTAAAGTTTTTAATGGTGGTTTAACATCAATCGGTTCACGATGGCAATCAAAAACTTAAAAATCTTCAGTTTAGATGTTGTGGAAATTGTTAGTTTTTTTTATTGAGATCATGAACCGATTGATGTTAAACTACAATTAAAAAATTAAAAGTACTGGTTGAATGTTTCGTTCTATTGTGAAACTCTTCATCAGTACACATTTACATCAAACAATTCATGATCTAAATCAAAAACTTAATACTCTTCATAAACCCGTGACCAGTGGAGCTAGTCCATGTCGGGTAGAAACAGGTGTCTACCTCAATACAATGGAGGATGGTCACGCAATTTCGTGGATTGGTTGAGGTTAAACATTAACACCATTGGATATCGGTCTGCCTAGTGGTCTAGAAGTTAAACGTTCTCCCGTGTGATCGAAGGCCCTGGGTTGGAATCTCACGGGGCGAGATCGTGGATGTACACAGTTAAGGAGTCCCACAATAGGATAAAACGACCGTTCGGTGCTTTCAGGTTCTAACATCAGTCAATTCATGATCTCAATCAAAAACATTTGTCACTACTAAATAATTAATCAATGGAAGATATTACAGTCCAGTTCAGTAGTAAAGTTTATAACAATGAGGCTGATCAACACCAGAGCGCATCGGCTAGAGAGCATTAAGTCCTTCAAGATTACAGATGCACCTTTCTGACAGATGCCAAACAACATGAAACTTGAGTCCAGTGTTTCCTACCATTCAATTCAAATCTCTTGACACTATGGTATTTCATAACGGTGTTAATGAAAGAGTTATTTACTTATTTTACTTATGTCTGTTACCCATCATGGAAGAGGATAGACCGGTCATCAGTAGTCTCTATCCCATTCTCTCCTGAACAATGCTTTCCAGTTATTTCCAGTTGTTATTCATTATTTTCATGTCTACTTCCGATTCCCAGCACAGTGTGTTCTTCGGCCTTCTTTTCCGTTTCCCTTCAGGATTCCAACTTAACACTTGCTTCATGATACAGTTTAATGATTTCTTCAATGTAGATCCTATCTACTTCCATCGTCTTTTCCTAATTTCCTTTTCAATTGGAAGTTAGTTTGTTTTCTCTCATAGTAAGCTGTTAAGCTAAAGTAGCAATTAAGGTAGAATAAATTGATTTCATTTTATTACGTGATTTCTCTATAACCGTTCACAACTACATTCGTATTGAAGTGTAACATTGTTATATAAAATAGTATGAAGTAATGGACATGATTGACCGTAACATGTAGAATAACAACGGATCTTAGCGATACCTCTCTCTCTCCATATATATATATATATATTCATGTGTATATAGGTGTCAGGTCAAGTGAAGAAGGGATTCGAAAGTATAGGGAGGTGACCCAGTATTTCACTGGAAATGTTTATTCGTTACTCCTTCATCGATATGTAAAGAAACTGTGTTAATTTGTCTGTTGATAATTTGTAGGGAGTGCCAAATGTCAATAATATTACTTACTTACGCCTATTACCCCCCGTGGAGTAGCATAGACCACCAACCTCCATTCCTCAACCAACTGTCCTTCCCTCTACTTTCCACTTGTTACTAAGCGTTATTCATTCTTTTAATGTCTGCTTCCAATTCCTGACACAATGTGCTTGTTGGTTTGCCTCTCATCCTTTTCCATTCAGGATGACAAGTTAGGGCTTGTCATGTGTTGCAGCTGGATGATTTTCACAATGTATGTCCTACCCACTTCCAACGTCTTTCCCTAATTTCCTCTTGAATTGGAAGGTGGTTTGTTCTCTCACACACTAGGTTGTTACTGATGGTATCCAGTCTACGGATATTGAATACCTCGCGTAAACAATTATTAATAAATACTTGTACTTTTTGATAATGGTAATGGTACTTCTCCAAGTTTTAGCACCATATAGTAGAATTGCTTTGATGTTTGTAATAAAGGATCTGACTTTGGTATTGGTTGATAGTTGTTTTGAGTTCTATATGTTCTTTAGTTGTAGGAATGCTGCTCATGCCTTTCTAGTCCATGCCTTTATATCTTCATTGGATAATATACCTGCAACCAATGAAGTATCGAGTTATTACATTGTTTAGATCTGTTACAACTTTTAATTTAATTGTCATCAATTCTTTATTCATTTTTTAGTTTGTGAACTTTGTTTTTTAAATAGCTCATCTGTAAATAAAATCATTAATATGGACCTTGCGAAATTCATCCCGTCTGATTTGGATAGTTTAACATCTATTGCTAGAAAATTATCTGTTTATCTAGACGGTAAAGACTACAAAGTAAGTTATTATTATGAATGGCTGATTCTGATGATTTGTTATTGCTCTATGTATTTCATTAACATAAATGAATAATCACTATAGGGTTGTGGAGACTATTGAGTTTTTGAATGAGATCATGAACCGACTGATGTCAGACCAACATTGGAGACCTGGAAGCATTGAACATCCATTTCGTCCTATTATGAGACGCCTCAGCAGTGCGCAATCACGATCCCGCCCGCGAGGTTAGATCCCAGGGTATTCAGTAAACCGCGCTAACGCTTAACCTAATGGACCACTGAGCTGGCCGGCATCCAATGGTGTTAATGACTAACCTCAACCAATCCACAAAATCGCGCAACCATCTGCCATTGTAGTGAGGTAGACACCTGTTTCTACCCGACACGAATTAGTTCCACTGATCTCAGCTTCCCACTGGAACTCCGAGAATCCCTCACGAAACTAGTCACTAGTGAGCACATGATAACTGAATGAATCTATTTCAATTGTTAGTAATATTGAGTAATGGATAGAGATATGTGGGAAGTTGTCAATTAATAGTTTTTCTCCCCATGAGAGAATATTTCTTTTTGTTAGACTTAAGAAGTAATCTAGGTTACAAGTGGTTCAAACTATCTGAAATCATGACCTCAGTTTTTGTAAGGTCCCGATAAGCATAATGGAAGGTAACTTTTGGATCCATTTATGGACAAATACTAAACGTATATTTTTATCGTATAATTGTTAAATAACTAAACTATTCATATTCCTCTTATTATAAGCTTTATTTTAACCTACGAACCATTATTATACGTTTTACCATTCTTGAATTATGCTCAGTATATTAATTACTACCTCCCTCATTCACAGCCACATCTGGTTAATGCTTGTACAAATTTTGTTTCGTATTCTATTGGTACGTTGTGGTCTGTTTGATTGGTATATAAATTCAGTATGTTTGAAATACATGATTCATATTGCAGAGGCTGAGATTGGTGTTCTGAACTTAACTGGATGGACAAGGCAGGAAGCAGGACCGGTAAATATTCTAGACTGCTCGTATTTGTTTTATGCGTCATTGGTCCGGTAGATAATTCACTGTTCTCTAATTGGCCGTATCATTGCACTATACAATAATAAGGACACAGCCCACAAGTTATAACGGTTTTCAAGTGATAACCGTTTTGATGTGGGTCATAAGAATCCTTTTTTGAGTAGACTTAGATGAATTATGTTATAACATTCATTTAGTCCTAGTAAGTAGATAGACATTCTCAAGGTTACTTTAACGTCGCTCAAAGATCATCCATTAATCATCGTTTTACTGATATTTCTCATCTAATGAGTTAATTAACAGTTTTACAGTAAATAGCTTCTTTTCCTTATAGAGTGATAATCAAACTTTATATTCTGTGAATTCCTCCAGTTAGTACAAATCTAATTTTTTAAAGTACTTTTATAGTTTAAAAATAAGGATACATTTATAATATCTTAATTAGTTGCTAACTGAATCTTCTTTTTTAAACTTTTCATGACTTTAGAGAGTAAGTAACTGAATTCTGTTGTTAACAATCGATTCAGTACTTAATTTATACCAAATTATTATTTCAAACATTGATAAAGTTGCTTATTATCAAGTTTGTATTTTAATTATGTTTCTTATACAGTAAAAATCGTCTACTATTTTTCTGATGAAATAAACGACTGAGATGTATTTGCAATGAATTACCAAGAGGATTAATAGTTGCTTAAATTTCTTACTTGATAATAAGATGATCTGCAAAATGATTTTTGAGCGACTACTTTAATCCTTAGAAGTTAATCGTTTCAGTTTAACCATAGTATGGGGTTCCTTTGAAAATAGGAGTGCAATTGATATATGTCCCATCTATGTATTGTTTTCTACTACGAGATAAACCTCTACACATTTTCAGTCATCATTTCATCAATCTGTCAAATCACCAAGATTCAAATACTGTTTACTACACCATTTTATTAAATAAAACTCAGCAATTTTCATAACCTCATACTGACTGTTATAATTTGCTCAATAGTGATTAGCTTCGAGAGAAAAGTCCTAGAGTTCTAGTGAGAAACGGTGACTAATCAAGTTCAGTTAAGCCGGATGTAGGTAGATAATACAAGATGGTTGTTCAGTTTCGTTGGTTGATTGATACCGACTTAGTGGTCTAGATGTTAAACATCTTGAGGAGAGATTATACGTCCTAGATCTGATGTACGAATGAACGGTCGTGGATGTCCACTGTTGAACAGTTCGTTGCTAAGACGAGAATCGGTCTTTCAATGTTACCAAGTTTTCAATGCTTGTCTTAGTTAGATCGGTTTATTATATCAATAAAATTCAATAATCTCAAACGTTTTCTGATAATGAACTTCAGTTTTTTAACAACGGTAATGAATGATGTAATATTGTGAAAATATAAACAGAACAAACATATGCTACTTTGCCCTTATCTCCTCTTTACTAAGTATTTGGATGAAATTTATCATTTTACGGTATTACAATTTATTTCATAAACCAAATAAGACTGAAGTCCAAATTAATTGGTTTAATAAAGTATTATATCCCTATGAGAATAATGAATAGTAACTGTTGGAATATATTTCTGAACTAATACTGTACGTATATTTTTATCTTATAATTATTATGCAACTAAACTATTCATATTCGTGTCTTTCTTATTATGAGCTTTGTTTTGATCTATGGACTGTTATTATACGATTTACCATTCTTGAGTTATGCTCTGTCTATCAATTACTATCTCCCACATTCATAGCCACATTTGGCTAAATCTTGTACAAATGTTGTTTCCTATTTTATGATACGTTGTGGTCTGTTTGATTGGTATATAAATCCAGTATGTTTGAAATATAAGGATTTATATTGCAGAAACTGAGATTGGTGTTCCGGACTTAACAGGCAGAACTAGGCTGAAAGCAGGACCAGTAAATATTCTAGACTGCTCGTACTTGTTTTATACGTCATTGGTCTTGTAAATAATTTACTGTTCTCTAATTGGCGATATCATTATGTTATACATTAATAAGGACACAGGGCACAAGTTACAACATAAAGAAATCGTAAAATAATTGTATAAAGATGGGTCAATCAGAATAAAAAATGTAACTTTTAATATTTTGTGTGAAACTCAAATATTATACGTAATGTACAATAATAGTATTTGTGTACAGTACTCAGAATGTTCTAAATAATAGTAAATATTACTTGTTTTCAAAAACATTATGAAAACAACGGTCTTGAAGATATCATATGCTAAGCTCTTTCTCTGTAGATTGTATATCACATAAATCGTCACTATCTTCAATTCTTAACCCTAAACACTTGAACGTAATCCTGAAATCTACTTGGGCCACGTGCTCACTAGTGACTAGCTTCGTGAGAAAATTCTCGGAGTTCTGGTGAGAAGCCGTGACCAGTGGAGTTAATTCGTGTCGCGTAGAAACAGGTGTCTACCTCAGTACAATGATAGATGGTTGCGCAATTTCGTGGATTGGTTGAGATTAGTCATTAACAACATTGAATGCCTGCCAGCTCAGTGGTTCGGTAGGTTAAGCGTTCGTGCGCTAGACTGAAGACCCTGAGATCGAACCTTGTGAGACGGGATCGTGGTTGCGTACTGTTGAGGCGTCCCACAATAGGACGAAATGGATGTTCAATGCTTCCAGGTTTTCAATGTTGGTCTAACATGAATCAGTTCATGATCTCAATCAAAACCAATAGTTTTAGGTGGCCGATATACGTATTTTTTTCATATAAGCATAACCATTTTATCGACTTACAAACAGAGTAACTTGTAGAAGACCTTAATGTATTCAACAATTCTATCATATTATTGTTTTCTTTTCTATAATCTATCCATTCTTGAAAACTGTCTTGTGATTAGTTAAGAACTGACTTGAAATACTTAACGATTATTTCAAGCTCATCCTTATAATACAGTCTCATCAAAAACTAGATAATAAACTAAACAGTCACTAGAGAGACATGTGTGGTTGTGTAACATAGAAATACTGAGTTGAATGGACAAATGACTATTTATATAATAGCAGTTTTTATCACGAAATGGAGTCAGCTTCAAAATCATTCGAGATTGATTAGGGTATTGAAAGGGTGTTTTTCATCTTGCTATTACTTAATTGCCATACATGAGACTAAATTCACAATTCTCTTTACACTCGGTCAATAAAATTCACAACGTTGTAATTAACTTGAAAATCCCTTAATAAGGTTGCTAAATCCTTTAATAAAGATATCTGGTAAAAGGAACATGCCATGATGGAAAAATCTTATTTGAAATTTCAAAATAAATGTTCATTAGAACCAATTTTTAGTGTAAAGAAAAAAAGATTTGGGCAAGATAACATGAATTTATTTCATATCAGAACGAACTAATCATTGAAGAACATTGAAAAGTGACTGAGAGACAACTGTCATCTACAAAATTTCATTAGTAAATAGAGAGAAGCTAAAGACAACAAGTTAAAAGTAGCTACAATCGATAAAATTCCTATCGTTTTACTGCTCCCCTTCAAGAGTGATAATGCTCCTGAAGGCTCAATGTTGTATTAATTAGAATTAACTCTAGAGTCAAAGTAACAGTTCATCATGTGAACATGTTCGAAAAATCCATTGATTGAGAGACCTACAGATGTTGAGTACCGCAATTCGTTAACATTATTTGAACATAAGACATTACTTATTACCTTAAAGCTCTTCGAGTGATTATTGAACGACAAACGCCTAGTACTCATAATTTTACTGAAGCTACGAGGATCATATATTGAAAATCTGACTTATGTAGTCATTATCTCCTTACTTTAACAACATGAATTCTATTATACCGTTATGTCACCTTTTAGATTCTTATAGTTTAATAATTTTGTTTTCAATTAACTGAGTTTTACATTATTCTATTTTTGTTTGTCAATAACGTTTATGTATTGAGTACTTAATTGTTTCTAACCATTATCAATGTCCCAGAATATTCTTCTGTACATGATGTTTACTTGCAATATTGTATTTAGTTAGATAATGGCTAGCAGTGGAATCCATAATGAGCATCTCGTTCTAGTTGGGTTTCGTTACCTAGGTATACCTGCATCCCAGAGTTGATGTTCGCCTTGGGAATCGAACCCAGTACTGTTTTCTTCATACGTCATCGCGTTATCCACTTAACTAACAAGTCCTGACAGACACCTGCTTGTGCAATGAGTTGAAGTTTTAAATTCACTTGGTATTGTTTACTTGTATCTTCCCATGGATGTTTAAGACTGCAATTGATTAATCTCTCATTAGTTTATGTGCATCCTGTGTATCCAGCTGACGAGTTTCAAATAGGAAGAAACGCGCGTCCTGGATTCCACTGCTATCCACTACCCATCTTTGCTTAAAAAGCTTGTGAATTAAGGCAATATCCAGGAAATCCACACAGAATGCACATATACCAACAAGAGACTAATCAATCACAATCCTAAATAACAATGGGAAGATTCAAATAAACAACACCATGTAAACTGAACATGTAACCATTTGTATATCATTCATTGAGATAAATTTTCATTTTATGTATTTTCTTTTCTTTGCTTTCTTCTTCTTCTTCTTCTTCGATTTCTTTCATCAATGAATTAGCCTACTATTCAAGAAATTATTCATTTTATATCAATAAAATCAAATTTATTGAATTATTTAAATGAAATCAAAAAATTTATACAATTCAATGGAACCATGTTTAATTTAATCGATATTATTGATCAGATCAATAATTCATTAATTATGTATGATCAAATTACCAAATCAATTAATCCATTAGTCAATTTATTTGAAAAACTTGAAATCAATAAAAATTTAACACAACGACTTGATCAAATATTGAATGGATTGAATAACTTTAAAAATGTAAGTAGTTCATTATTTGATAAATAATTTGTAATGATTATTGAATTACAATAATTGAGATCATGAATCAATTGAAGTTAGATCATCTTGAAAATACTGGATGATTGTTTCATTCTATAGAATTATCATTATGTCATTATGGTCCACTAGTTATTACGTCATTTATTCGTCAACCGACATACAACTTATTCAATCTTACTATTGTACTAAACCAATGATATTCGTCCGATTTGATCAACCTAGCATCCCATTAGCTCGTTGCTCGTCTAGTCCGTCCAGTTGAGTCCACAATACCAATTGCAACCTCTATTATGCGAATCATTTATTCCGGATATACTGGGGTTTATGTATCAATCAAACAGACTGAAATGCACCATGAAATAGGAAATAACATTTATACACAATAAAGCCAAAATGTGGTTCTGAACGTGGGAGACTCTAGTTAATAAACTAAACATAACTTGAGAACAGTAAACCATATAATAATAATAATCTATAGGTCAAAATGAACCTTATAATAAGATGAATATAAATAAACACAAGCTAAATACTGAATAGTTATACCATAAGAATATACAGATAATATTAGTCCATTAATAGATCTCACAATTAATTCGTAATTTAATCTTCGCTAAGATATAACCATTATCTTAGATGATCATCAACAATTAGGAAGTAATCGACAGTTATCATTCAGTCGTAATGTGACTATAATTCTATTGAAAATAAAACTCAAGGTCTTTAGTTTAAGAGAGGAGAGTTTAAATGTTATACAGCTAAGTCATTAGTTAATGATTTTTATGTTTAGTTTTAATCAATACGTGATGTTGCATAAATGTATTAAGTGTGAAATAGTTTTCTTACCGATGATATTAAAAGATGGTTCAAAAACATGGCAAACTGATTGAAGTTAGACATGTAAATCATTGGATGTGAATTCAGTGGTGTAAATGTTGATTTCTTGGCACGAGACTCGAAGGTCCTAATTTCAATCCACTGTCGTAATTACATTGATTTCTATCAAACAATGGTACGTGTTAAATAAACATATTGGATAGAGATAGGGTCCAATTACTTGTAAATAATCATTTGCCATGTGATAGCTAGTTGAACAACATCTTTTCTATTCGGACTGTTCTGATTAACATATATATATACAGCGCTTCTGATGTCGATCTTTCTTTACGTGAGCCAAACTCTTCCTGAAGCATTTTGATCCCTTCAGAATCGATCTTGTGATCTGTTTCTAATATATGTAAAGCTATCATCAACCTTTTCACAAGTTTCTCCAGATCAACCGAGGATTTAGGAACACGTTTCAAATATTATTTGTGTTACTCCAACCCCACATTCAAATGTCTAGATGTTTTTCCCACATAAACTGCATTGGAATCATAACAGTTGATCTCATTGACAATATTCTGTTTTTCTTCCTTTGGAAACATACCCTAAACTTTCACTAATGCTGACCTTATGGTATCACTATCCCTAAAATACACTGTTATATTATACTTGTACCAATAACCTATCGCTACATTTTTGGATTACCTAATTGTTCAGCCAAGATACAATTTATTTTTTCAGTATAGGGTTTTGAGGATCGCTTTTTAATCGAAATCATGTTGCACTACTATTAAAGACCTGTAAGCATTGAAAGGACATTTCATCTTAATATTAAACTCCTCAGCAGTGTTCATTTATAGTCTCGCATACGGGACTCGTCAGTCGGCTACAAAGTAAGACCAGGCACATATATGCATCGGTTCAAGTTGCCATATCTCATTATCACAACAAGATGAACACCGAAATTCATAGAGGCAATTCATTCAATGGTGGTAATATATAAAAGAAAGATTGCATATAAGGACACAAGTACAGGAAGAAAGAATTAGTGTGTAGAAAGAAAGATATAAAATTATTTTAATCTCATCACTTTAAGGAAGACAAAATATGTATACATCTACACCATTGTAATCGATTCTAAGCTCAAGACCTTCAATCTTATTCATAAGCTTAACCTCTAAACTACTAAGCCAACATCCAATATTGTTCATATTTAACTTGAACTTTGAATTACTAACATGATTGATGAAGAGTGCTGTTAGAGGTATGAGGAAGATTATCACTTCCCGGTTGCCCACACCGTGGAAGGGTTCTTCTGGAGGTGCCTGAAAAGGAAATTGGATTAAAGGTGGTCTTAGTGACCTTAGAGCGTGCCCAAGGGACAACTGCTTGAGGTCGGTCACACACGACCTTTTTATGGGTAATTTTTGTGTTAGCTCCGTACATGTTGAGACCTTAACGCTGGAGACGGATATCCGTGATATAAGGCGAGGTGTGCATTTTTAGGGTCGACCTTTTCTAACCCCACCCCGCCTTCTGGGAAGGCAGTATCACTGTCATGCTGGTTGTCTGAAGAAAACACCTTATTGCTGTCACACCTCTGTACAGTCAGCAGTATGACTTCGCCTGCGGACCTTGGGTTTGTTGCTTTTAGTCTTACCGCTGTTCAACCGACCTGTCTGACATGGTAGGACCTTGAGCAACGGTTATTCCAGCCAGTATAGCTCGGTTGCTTCATCAAGATAGGCAAGCCCGACCATCACATCAAGGTAGCAACAACGGTCGGGACATGATTAATGTACCATTCAAATAGTCAATCATTCTATTCGCTTTTATGATATCTTACATCTTTTTTTTTTCCTCCCTCTCCCTCTCATAGATTTCATCTGATCCTCAAAGATTGACCGAATCCATACGTTTAATATTTCATTCATCTATTCAATCTTTATTAAATCATACAAGTACATTATTAAATAATCAATTTGAACAATTATTTGCTAATATTATACCATGTAATAATATTAATAAAATATTAATGATCATATTAAATCTATTTTGTAATAGAACAAATAGTAATATATTAAGTTTAGGATGTTTTATATTGATTATATCGATATCGTATTTTTTATTGATTATTACATTATTTATTTTTATCATATATTCTAGAAAACATATTGATTTATTGATTTATACAAAATGGGAAAATATTCCATTATATAATTCTGTGAAATTATGTTATAAACTTCTTAAATATAATTAGTTGTTTGTTTGTTTGTTTTTATTATTATTATAATTATTATAAAAAAGGTTGTACGGTGTAAGATGGAACAATTTTGTGGATTGGTTGAAGTTAAATATTAACACCGTTGGATATAGTCCAGCTCAGTGGTCTAATGGCTAAGCGCTCGTGAGCGAGACTAATAGGTACTGAGGGGGCGGGATTGTGAATGCGCACTGCTGAGGAGTCCTATACTGGGACGAAATGGCCATTCAGTGCTTCAAGGTTTTTCATGATGGTCTAGCTTCAATTGACTCATGATTTCAACTATTGAAATTTCCAAAATCTCCACAAAACCCTTGAGGATTCCATATGAGGTCTTGCCTTGTGACGCAGTTGGGTGCTTTCCTCAATGTGTGTCCTACCCACTTCCAGCGGTTCTTCCTGATTTCTTTCTCCACCGGGATCTGGTTTGTTTTCTCCCGCAGTTGGTTGTTGCTAACAGAGTCTGGCCAACAGATTCGAAGTACTTTCTGTATACAGCTGTCAATAAACACCTTTATCTTCTGAATGATGGCTTTCGTAGTTCTCCAGGTTTCGTGATGCAGTTTGATGATTTCCGTATTCTATGTCCTATCCACTTCCAACATCTTTTCCTAACTTCCTCTTCAGCTGGTTTGTTCTCTCTTACAGTACGCTGTTGCTGATGGTATCCTGCTAATAGATATTGAGTATCTTGAATAGACAGCTATTCATAAATACTTGTACCTTCTTGATGATGGTTGTGGTAGTTCTCCACGTTTCAGCTCCATACAGTAGGACTGTCTTGACGATCGTACTGAAGATTCTGACTTTGATATTGGTTGAAAGTTGTTTTGAGTTCCGTATATTCTTTAATTGTAGGAATGTGGCCTTTGCTTGGCCAATCCTCGCCTTTACGTGTGTATCCGACCCTCCATGTTCATCGATGATGCTTCCCAGGTACATGAAAGAGTCCACATCTTCCAGAGCTTCTCCATCAAGTGTGATTAGGTTGATTTTCTCCATGTTGCATTTGAGCATCTCGGTTTTCCCTTTGTGTATGTTGAGGCCTACTGCTGCACAGTCTGCTGCTACACTAGTTGTCTTCATCTGCATTTGTTCGTGTGTATGGGACAGAAGAACCAGATCATCTGCAAAATCCAAATCTTTAAATTGATTCCGAGCTGTTTATTGTATTCCATGTATCCCCTCAGATATCTTACTCTTCATAATCCAGTCAACCACCATAAGAAAGAGAAAGGGGGAGAGTAAGGTGTCTTGTTTACCTCCGGTCCTCACTTGGAATGTGTCTGTCAGCTGTCCCCTATACACCACTTAGCAGTGTAGTTCGTCTCACGAACTTCGGATGGTGTTGACGATATTCCCATCTACTCACTCCATAGTGTCGAAGAAGTCTCTATAATGTTGTCCCATCCACTCTATCAAACGCCTACTTATAATTGAGGAAATTGACGTATCGTGACGAGTTCCATTCAACTGGTTGTTAAACGATGATCTGTAGCGTCGTGAATTGGTCTGTGCACGACTGATCCTTACGGAATCCGGGTTTGTTGATCTCGGAGCTAGTCGTCTACTTAGTCTTTAATCCGGTTTACTAATACTCAGTTGAAAATCCTTCCTGTTACTGACAGTAGTAGTTCTCACATTTGCTCAGATCTCCTTTCTTTGATACATTGATGAGGTGTCGTTCTTTCTAGTCTGTAGGCACTTGTTGCTCCTCTCAAACCTTTCTGAATAAAATGTGCAACAAGATTGTAGTTGATTTTATGTCCGATTTCAGTGCTTCATACGGTATTCTATCTATTCACACCGATTTTCCACTGTTGATTTGTCTGATTTACATGCTAATGTTTTCGATTGTTAATGTGATAACATTTATAAGAAGGTTTATAATTGTAGCTTCGATATTCATTAGATTCAGTTCGGCTAATCTATTCAAAAGTTCTTCTTCTCATTACTTACATCAAATTAAATCAAACTGATTTATATCAGTCATAACACATATTCATTTGTTTTTACTTAGAAACTATTAGTTTCATGATTGTACTTAACAAGAGGATATTAGTTTCAATGGAACACTCACATATAAGAATGTAGTTATCTAAAAAAGCCTGTAACATTATAACATTCATTTTAATGATAACAATGATAACGATAGTGATATTGACGATAAACTAAATGTAAAACCAAAAACAAACAAAACAAATAAACAAACACAAAAATTTCATTTCCATTATTAATCAACAAATATAACCCAATTTAAACAAATAGATCAATGAAAATAAAAATAGAAAAAAAAGAAAAGAAAAAAAAAGAAAAAAGAAAACCAATGAAAAACAACCAAATGAATAATATCACATCACATTGAACATTGAAAATGACAAATCGATATTTTTGTTTATTCAAAACAAAAAAAAACAAAAAAAGCGGAACCAGAACAAAAACACAAGATGAATAGTTTTCAATAGAAAACTCATATGTTGACATACGATAAAAATGTTGTTTATATGCTGGTATCAACTAATAGCTCTTCACAACATATATCAACAAACAATTTATTAAAAAAAAAAGATGAAAAGATAAGGTGAAATGACTTTTTGAAAACTTCATCTCTATGGAACATTCATTAGTCACATTTAGTTGTTCTTCCTCTTTTTTGTTATTGTTGTTGTTGAAATATGGAGTTTATCTTCTGATGAAGTGATCATTAAAACACACATCACATAAATGGCAACACAAATTATGACAGGAAGACAAAACAAATAATAAATCAAGCAGTTTTTTGTTTTGTTTATGTAGTAATTCATAAGAAACTGACTATTTAGCTGTTGAATTTGTTGATGTTTAATCTGTTGTCGGCTTCTCAGTATTTTCAACCGCTTCTTCAGCCTGAAATTAGAATTACATCAAGTACATAAGATATAATCCAGGTACGTGGTATATATATTCCAATTTAAACACATGTTTTCCATAAGAGTGAGATTTATCATTGACATACCAATCAATCACAATTAAATGATTCTTATACAGATTGAATTATTCTCATGTTGATATTTTGTATGAAGCTTGATCAGTCTTGGTTGGTATATGCGTATCCAATGTGGATTGACTGGATATTAGCTAATACGACTCAAATTTATATAGAATAGAGGAATAATGTTTAGGTTTGGAATTATGAACGCACGTTTCGTCCTTTTTGGGACTTATTAGTTAGGTGTATCTGAATCTCACGATTGATGTTCGTTCCGGGACTTAAAATCAGTTGCTTTTGATATGGACACTAATACATTATCCACTTAGCTTCTTAATCGAGATAGCCACTAACTAGACCTCAATTATGAATTCCGTTATCAGCTATATCCCATTCAATCGATTTAAGCATACCATCTTGTATGTAAATATTAGAAAATTACTTATAGAATCTACTGTTTCACCAATTGGAAAAACTTATTTACTTTCGTTTCTCGGAAGTAAATACACAGTTAATTTTCTTCAAATGTACTGAAGAGTTTAGTGACTAGTATTTTGTCTGTAATATTGGATTACCACGTAACAAGTCCAGTGTCAGTATCATGAATCATGTCAACTACTGGTTTGCATGTCTACCTTACTCAGTCCCCGGCATTACACACCCATCTTACGATGACATCAGTGACTAATTGCCTACAGTGGTCTGAACGTCCTGAGTTCGCTCTACAATGATATTGTTATGCATGGACAGCATTGAGTAGTCCTGTACTAAAATGAAACCAGTGGCTTTCACTGGTTGTTTAACTAAGATGATGTAAACTATGAAATCCAACGATCTCCATATAACCTCACTAATAGGTATCATCTATAAATAAATGTTATCACAGATGAATCACTGTAGCTTCTAAGATAACTAACTAAGAAAAGCTTATTAATATTTTTAAATAGCATAATCTTATGAATATACTAAATATGATTTAAGTACCAAATGGTCAATGTGACATATTACCCATATAAATAAATAGGATGAAGAAAACTTTCAGTAAACTTACATCTTTTTCCTTCAATTTAGGGATTAAAACAACTTTACCGACATTCTTCCTTTCTTGTAAACGCATCATAGCCTCTTTGGTCTGCAATTAGAAAGACATATCATTTTAAAAACAACTTGCACTAAGATATTTCATGAAAGATATAAATGAAAATTAAAGTAAACTTCTTTTGTTAAGCAAGTTAATAAGAATTAGAACACCCTTAATGAAGTCTTTTTCCGATGAAATCAAAAATCAAAATTCAAACAGTAACTTTGTAAACAGTCCAAATCCTATTCCAAAACAATCAAATAAACTTGAAATTATTCAATCAATCAAAAGAAACAATCTTGATTAACTGATTATTTGAGTTTTATGAATTAAATTAATCTAGTTTATCAGTTGATAAACATCAAATGATCTACAAGAGTTTGCGTATTAAAATCAAACAATATTCAGTAACTAACAATATTAATCATTCGCTCAAATAATCAGTAATATTGGGAAGAATTATTGTTTATTTATTATTTATTTTAACACACAGATATTGGTACAAGGAGGCACCAAATACATATGCGCCACACAGATCTCACTTGATATGTGTGAGGGCTGTAATACTGCCCAGGTGCCAAAAACAAAGCAGGTGGTTTCCTTAGGGGGCCACATCCGGAGCCGTCGACCTGAAGGTCTGATCCACAAGGCAGTGGAGCATCGTACGGAGATGCAGTCCCATGGAAACCGGTGACAAACAATTGGTTCATACTCCATTTGTTCCCGAGGGATACTGGAGCCCATGTGCACCATTGGTTTGGAATCAGGATTTTCCAACTCCCTTAGGTGGACTCTCCATGTTCACCAACCCGGTTAAGGCGCCGAACATTTGCTTTTCGTCCTCTCAATTTCGTAAACAATACCCCCTCCACGAGAAGGCAGCCATTAGGACTTCCCTGGCAAAGGCTATATAAACGTGGCCATGTGAGGGCATTTCGAGAGGGAGAGCGGACTCTCCGCACTCTCGGCCGTACCAGCGCATTCGCGGGAAGAATTTCTTTAAGGCAATTGGGAAAACATGACCAGTGGTATTCATCTGTATCGAAAATGAGACTATTAGTCATAGTAATAACATTTAGTCTAGTCCTTCGTGTAGAATACTAAGGAGTCCTGTTTAAAAAAGAAAACAATTTTTTAGTATCCATTTGTTTTGTATAATTTCTCATAATCATTTCAGTGATAATCGTTTGCGCTATTAATGTTTTAAAGTGTTTGTTACCAAAATGTTCTATAGAAAACAATCAAAGATGGTTATGCAATACCGTAGATTGATTGAAGTTAGACCTTAATATCGTTAGATACCGTCTCAATGGTCTTGAGGTTAAGCGTTCACGAATGAAACCGAATGTCCCGGGTTCGAATACCGTGCTCAGGAACATGATTATGCACTGCTGAGTAGTCCTATGCTAGGACGAAATGGCCATCAATTGCTTGCAGGTTACCAGTGGTGGTCTAACATTGATCAATTCATGATCTAAGTCAAAACGTAAGAATCTCCACGACCCTGTACTGATGATTAATAAACTTCATCTTTCCAATACATAGGTTACGTTTGAAATAAATATAATACATCTGAAATATCATAGAACTAAGAAGTATGCACTCATGACGTTACCTTGGATCTAACCCAGGATCTTCAAGTGTTAAAGCGAACACTTAGCCATTAGAACCACTAATCCATCTTTGAATAGTAATAATTCGACAATTATCCAGTGTCATTAGAAACATATATATTGCTCTCGATGTATTCTTAATTTTACCAATCTCCAAGATGTATGGAGCTTTATAATATATATGTGCGTTACAGAATTTTACCATAGTTAAAAATAATCAAGATCTACTTACCATAGATAACTTAAGGCTTCAACTATAATAACCATGTTTTTGTGTTGGTTATTTGGATCATTACATTCATGTTTAGGAATGCAATTAGTCAAATTCAAATAATCAATACAAAAATGAATTAAACTTTATTCCATTAAACAGGTTAGTGGTTATCTGCCTGCTTGAGCATCTGGGCTACCTGTTCCTGCCATCTAGATATTTCAACAAGTTATCTATTGTTGTTTGTTTTAATATATCATTATGTTTATTAATCGCATAACCTATTCTGCTGCGTTTCTGAAAAGTGTACAACCTTTCGTTGTCAAAGTTACAAAAAACTCAATAAGAGACAATATGGTTGCTGGCAATGTACAACGAAAAGAATGCACATTATTCAGTTGTTCATTCACTGAAGTGCTAACATCTAACTGGCGATTCCTCAATATTTATCGCCAGGACCGACCAAGAAGAAAGAAACGGAAACTTGTTGAAATAATTTGCGCTGAGAATTCTATATTGTACCAAAATTATAATATTGAATAAAGCTAATAATAATAATAATAATAATAATTAAGTGGATAACTCGATGGTATTTGAAATGAACGGTATTCAGTTCAAGTTTTGGAATGAATACCAACTCCAGCTGACGAGTCTCAACTAGGATGAAACACTCATCCTAGATCTCATTGCTAGTCATCTACATCTCTACTTATTAATAATCATAGTCTATTTAAGTTAACTTTTCAACCAATGTACATTAACTAATGACTGTTTTAGTTTCCTTAATCTTTTAAACAAAAGTTTTTTAATCATTATTAAATAAAACCACTTCAAAACTGCTTTTTATAAATAGTTGACTAGATATAAATTACTTTTTTTGATACGCATAATCACGCTTGAATAAATATCAAGTTAATAAAATGCTATTTTCAAATCAAAACTGAAGGTAAATAATTGAATCAATTTACTATTAAATTAGAAGGAATGAAATAGGTATCTTATCTATGACAGATACCATTAGCAACAAACTACAGTCGGAGAGAATAAAGTAGCTTCCAGTTGAAAAGGTAATTAAATAAAAGACGATTGAAGTAGATAAGATACACATTATGGAAATCATCCTGAAGTAAAACGGAATAGATGAACGCTAAAGAATACACTTCTAGTGGGTAGCCTATGCTCATCAACGAGAGGTAACAGGCGTAAATAAGTAAGTATTTATAACAATTAATATAATCAAAAAAGAGTTTTTGTGGACATTATAGTAATTTAATGGTTGAATTTATGTGTCGATTGAAGCTAGACCACAATGGGAAAATTGAATGCACTGAACGGGCGTTTTGTCCTAGTATGGGATTCCTCAGCAGTGCGCATCCATGATTCCGCCTCGCAGGGCTCGAACCTAGAACCAATCAATCTCATGCGCGAGCGCTTGACCGTTAGGTCACTGAGCCAGCATCGAATGGTATTCATGTCTAACTTCAATCAATCCATGAAGTTGCGCCACCGTCCAACGAAACGACCGTCCAGTGCTTTCAGATTTTCCATGATGGTCTAGCTTCAAAGGACTCATGAATTCAACGAATAAATTGTTATAATCATTGAAAGAATTCATTATAAACAACCATTGTTTATTGCTCCATACCTCATCTAAATACCACTGACTATCAACTATTGGATCAATTTTTTGACTATCGATTAATTTTGTTAATTCATTCCATACGTCAATAATTAATTTATTCGTTTCTGTTTGATTAGGATCACGAGAGAAGAGAAGTGATTTTAATGAAAATCCACCTAACAGTAAATTTTCATCGTGTAATTTCAACGGATTAATACGTTCTATATGAAACCACTGAAATAATAAAAGAATTTAGTAAGAAAAAAGTTAGTGAAATGAAACAATGAAATTTTTCTAAGCAAAGATAGATGGTGGCTAGCAGTGGAATCCAGGACACGCGTTTCATCTTATTTGGGACTCGTCAGCCGGATTTACTTGCACTATAGAGTTGATGTTGACTCTGAGACTCCCGGATTCCACTGCTAGCTACCATCCACCTCTGCATTACAAGTTATAAATTTAGGATTGTTTAATCAAAATAGGTTCACATACTGCATTTTTGTGATTGTCGAAATGACTTATGTAAAGATTTTTAATTTACAGCAACTGAGATTGACAGGAAGCATATTACGTATTATACACAACAATTACCTCCCTCAATATGAAAAATGTAGTTTAGAATATTAAAAGGGGTCTAAACCAAGACGTTACATCAGTCCGTAAGACCACTAACTAACCGAGCCATATTCATAGGTAAAGACTATCTAGTTGAGATATCCACGATCATCATGGAAATGTTAGCTAATACGTCTCAGAACAGGTTAAAATGGTGAACATGGATTCATCAAATATCACCCTTTAGATCCAGAGTTTTAGAATCACCTTATATCCCTTTTATTTCACGAGTTTGTTTTTCGTTCTCTAACCATATTCTCTGTACTGAAAATGCTAACGGCTACTATTAGTATCATTAAAACTACTCTTATTATTTTGAAATTCATCTTGATAATCCTGTCAAGCTGTGCTGTTGTAATGCAGCAATACGAGCAGATGTACATTTGTACTAGAAGATCCAGGGTTCAACTCCACATGAGGAGTAGTGTATGTGCACTGTTTAGGGATGCCATACCACGACAAACCGCTCGTTCAGTGCTTTCTGATTGTCACTGGTGATATAACACTGGTCGGTTCATGATTTCAATCTCCACAGTCCTACATTCACAACTAGATTTTTTGTAGATTATAATTAGTTGACAGTTTGTCGGTTAAATGAACATACAAAACAATTTAGACAAATGCTCAACTCAAGATTAAAAAGTATAAAAAATAAAATATAGTAAAATCAGATAGGTGTTTAGTGAATTGTACAAATGTCTATAGGAGAAACAATTCATTAAAACATAGCTCTTTATTTACAAACCATCCTATTCAGTCCCATCTTAGTATGATCGAACTCCGATTCAAATATTTTTTTGAATGAGATCATGAACCAATTGATGTTAGATCACCATTGAAAACTTGAAAGCACTGGACGGTCGTTTCGTTCTATTGTAGGACTCCTCAGCAGTGCACATCCACGATTTTGCTCTCAAGATTCGAACCCAGGGCCTTCGATCTCGCACGTGAACTCTTAACCGATTCAAATAACCTAATTTATATGTCTTGGTTATGTGAGACAATTCACTGTGACAAATACATAAATCTTTTCTATATGTTAATAACTTCAGTTTATTTAACGCTAACAAACCTGATGTGAATTGAATTGAGGAAAAAAAGTTCTTCATTTGTATATTTGTTAATTTAACATTTTCAAATCATCCTGACTTTCTTTAGGGTTGACTAAGAGAAAATGTCTATTACATAAACATCCGTCTCTTTATAAAATCATTCAAATTGTCAATAGTGAAACAAACTTACATGTTTTGCTAAGTTTAAAAAGTTTTTCCTGTCTCCAGTGACTAAGTTTGACATACCTTTGTAAAGCAAAAAAAAAGAAAATCAGATATCCTATATGACAGTTCGCATTCGAATTCTTATGTTATCTATAGTTTAAACAATTCATAATGACAGGAAAGAATCAATGGTTTTCAGTAGTTTTTAGTGTGTTATTAATTGTTTATCGATATTTATTTAGCTTAAAGTCCCGCAAATACCAATGCGGTGTATACTACTGATGTCAACAGATATAAGTAGTATGTATCATCAATTAAAAGTGAAATGTCTGGTTGCAGAAGGTTAAACAAATCAAAGAAATGAAAACGAGAACAAAGAATGATTGTTGTGGGATCCAAAGAACACTGAAGTCTGATACTATTGATTGACACTTGCTGAAAAAGGAACAGTCAAGTTTGAGACAATTGATTGACATTTTACAAATAATGTATTTACTTTCTGGTTCTCAGATTTTACCAAAAGATTCTGTAATTTCGTATTCACGTACATTTGATTGTCCCCGATTGTGTTCTTGTTCACTACACCAGAAACAGTTACTTACTCACCTAATTAATTACTTACGCATGTTACTCCTCATGTAAGAGCATAGGCCACCCCCCCCCCAGCACTTTCCAACCAATGGCTCTTCAGAATTGAAGGAAAAAAAATAGTTTTCTTGTGTAAATGAGATTTATTCATCAAACTTCTTTTGTGTTTGAAGTGATAGCAATTGATTTTGAACGTCAGTATAAATATCAACACTATAATAATCCAATTTCATTTTATTGAATAGTTTTTACTATGATTCTATTGCTAGACAAAACCTATCTTTCATTTACATTGTGACATTTAAAATGAATCTTATTCATTTCCATCTTGTTATCGAACATTATTATTTTATATAATGTCAAATATATCTGTTATTATTTAGTTAAATATTTTTGAATATAACTTAGTAAAGTTCGTCTTAAGAATTCTTTCATATACATCTTTGACAAACATTATTAAAGAAGAAAACGATATGTGTTTGAGTTATTAGTTTTTCAGATGAGTTTTGTGGAGATTGTAATAATTTCAATGGTTAAGATCATGATTCAGTTGAAGCTAGACCATCATGGGAAACCTGGCAGCACTGGACGGCCGTTTCGTCCTATTGTCGGACTCCTCAGCGGTGCGCATTCACGACCTCGCCCCCTGCGAGATTCAAACCCAGGACCTACTGGTTTCGCGCCCGAGCACTTAACCACTATACCGCTGAGCTGGTCGGCATCCAACGGAGCTAATGTTTAACTTCAACTAGTCCACGAAATTGAGTGACACATTCACCATTGTCTTCAGTGAGTTACTATCTCACAGCAGACCTGGTTGAACTCCACTGGTCACTACTTCTCATGATCTTAACCATTGAAAGTACCACATTCTCCACAAAACCCATCTGATATTAATCAGCATATGCTCACTAGTGACTGGCTTCACGAGGTATATCCTGGAGTTCTGGTGAGAAGTCCCACAATAGGACGAAACAGCCGTCCAGTGCTTCCAGGTTTTCCAAGGTGGTCTAGCTTCAACTGACTCATGATCTTAACCATTGATATTATTTTCTCGTTAGTAAAACATGCCGAGGTGTCTCATTAAGAATATGAGTCATTTTTAATCAATATAGCGACATCAAGATCACTATATATATGTATTGTAATATGAGGTTACTGTCAACCCCTACTTTAAACAGTTTCAGTTAGGAAACTAGAATAAATTATTTCTAATCTGTTAAATTAATATGTTATGAAAAGAAAGCAATGAAATACCAGATGAGGTGACATATTTCCATTATGTGTGTTAAAAGGACAAATTAATCAGTAACAATTCTTTTTCTTCGATCTAAGGTGAAAACTCAAATAAACCTTAATTAGTGTAAGACACTGAATAACAAAAGCTCGAAAAACCACTGTAACTGACTTGAATAATATCAAAACTATATCTCAGTACAGGGTTGTGAAGATCGTTGAGTTTTGATCGAAGCCAAGTGTTCGTGCATGAAACTGAAGGTCCTAGGTTCGAATCCTTATGTGCAGGGTCAGGGATGCGAACTGCTGAGGAGTTTCATACTACGACGAGATAGCCATTCAGCGCTTCCAAGTTTTCCATGGTGCCCTAACATTGATCGATTCATAATCTCAATCAAAGCGATATACATGTAATATAATCATTTCAGTAGTGTACAGAAATTTTGCTTAAAATTTCAACACAAAATTAACTAACTTTTGGTTAGATATTGACAGTTGTTGTGTTGAATGTAGGGGTCGGTTGAAAAATTGTTTATAACCAGACAAGGTCTTTCAAAAAAGAAAAAACATTTTGAAACAATTTTATCGAGTTTCTCAGCTACAAGAAAAACCAATGTTCACTTTAGAAGTGTTCATTAACTACTTGTAGTTTCATGTTTGACTATTTGTGAAAATTATATTTCCAATAATCTTAATGATCGAAATTTCTACAATTCTAATGTTTCGTCCGACAAACTTTTTCAGACTTCTTCAGTATAATAGTCAGAATTAAAGTTATCAAAGGATATATAATGTTTCACAATCAAATCAAATCTATACTCACTGCTTATTCAATCATATTCAGATGTTTACTGTGGTAAGTAGGATAATATGAGTCAGTTAAATGTGAATCATATGGAAAGTTTATTTTGTGAAGATAATTGAATGAATACAAAATGTCTTAGTAAAGTCTGAGAACCATACAGTAAATACTTCATTTGCAAAATGTCAATCAATTGTCACAACCTTGAATGTTCGTTTTGCAAATGTCAATCAATCATCTCAGATTTCACTTTTCCTTTATTTCCACAACAATCATTCTTTGCTCTCATTCTTCTCAACCTTCTACCTCCAGATATTTTTTCCCCATTGATTATACATACTACTTATATCTATCGACATCAATAGCACACACCATAGTAAGTGTCAGTTTAAGTTAACTTTTCATAAATCATATCTTCTCTATACTCAAGGGTCAATTTTTGTCGAAACTCTTCAATCAAATATTAATAACTATTCATATAAATTCCATGATTTATGTACCAAGACATTCTTTCTTCATATCAGAATCATTTTGATTAATTAAAGATAAGATTACGAATTACCAATCATTCAATATCGTCTATGTAATTTAATTTAATTAATGATTCTAATCCAAAAAGAAGAAGAGAAACCTTTTCAACTAAATCAAATCGAAAGATAATTTTGCTGTGACTTTATGGCCCGCTGGTTATTACGTCATTTATTCGCCAACTGACATACGACTTATTCAATCTTACTACTGTACGAATTCAATGATGTTCGTCCGATTTGATCATCCTATCAGTCTGTTGCTCGTCTAGTCCGTCCAGTTCAGTCCACAATGCCAATAGCAACCTTCATTATGCGATTAGTTTATTTCAGACATACTGGGGTTTATATATCAATCAAACAGATCGCATCGCACCATGAAATAGGAAATAACATTTATACACAATAAAGTCAAAATGTGGCTGTGAACGTGGGAGACAATAATCAATAAACTGAACATAACTTGAGAACAGTAAACCGTATAATAATAATAATCCATGGGTCAAAATGAACCTTATAATAAGATGAATATAAATAAACACAAGCTAAATACTGAATAGTTATACCATAAGAATATACAGATAATATTAGTCCATTAATAGGTCTCAGAAGTTAGTTATAAAATAATAAATCAATTTACCGTAAATGATATGCTTTCCTAATGGTTTTAATATACCATATAATTTATTTGTATCTGGTCCACTAATACAATCCAAAATTGCATCAATTCCATTAGGATAAAGTCTATTGAATAGAATATGAGCGGAAAAAAACAAAAGCACACACACAAAGAAAATAGTAATATCTAATACAAGCTCTCATAAAAATTTCATACGTGAAAGGATTCATTTATTTATTTTGATCAATATTTATTGCTGATGGGAACAGTGAAATAAGATACGTTGACAAACTATGAAAGGTATTTTTAGGGACGTTATTTCATTCCATTCAAAGCTTGTAGAACAGTAAGATTTACTTTTGTCTCTAGTCTATTCTACAGATCATAAGCTTTCGTTTGATATATGATTCACTTCCATAGCCTATTCTGTTCCAAAACTATTGGTATTTGAAGGTAATATTTCGTACTCTATTTTCTACGCTAATCCCAAGTTTTGCATATAATTGTATTTTCCTAATTGTTGTGCGCTGTAGTCTGGTTAGTCATTTACTTGTTCATGTATCTTTTGACACAAATCTGAAATTGGGAACCAAATCGGAATTGAGAATAAATCGTGTAGTGTTCCAGTTGACTTATCTTCTCTTACTCACGTACTTGTCAGACAATCAGTTGGTGATAGAATAGTTTTTGTCTCTCTACCCCAAGCAATTGGTCTCACTTCGAACTCACGCATACTAACCTCAAGGTTAAGCCGGTCAGCCTATTGCGTCAAGGTCTTAATCTACACTAGACAAGATATCCTCTACAGAAAGTGGATAGACAGATCATGGACGTAACAGTTGCGAAAACTAGCTATATATTAGCTTTCTATTATCTCAATTTCATTACAATTCTAATATTCAAAGTTCATGATAAGATGAGCATGGCAGTCGGATTCAGAACGAACGTTTCGTTCTATTTGGAATTCGTCTAATGGATTTACTCTCATTCCAGAGTTGATATTCAATCCGGAACTCGAATCCAGTACCGTTGAATTCGAATGTCATCGTGTTATCCACTTAGGTACTGAGTCATATGGAAACTACCACAATCCCCAGTGATCTGATGATTCCTTCATTAAGTATCACGATCTGAAATGTTATCAGTGACCTATTTTCGATCGCCATTGATACCCTGTGGAACTGGATCTTGTAAACCAATTGATTACCTACCAATAAGTAATATAATCTTTTATCACTGCACACTGTTGATTAAATTTTATTGATCAAGTCGCAGTGTAAATAATAGTTCAAATGATTTGAATACCTCCAACAATTAAAAACACATCGAGTTATGCATGCGTTATATTAGCTATCATTTAAAGAACGAATTGTGCGACGTTAAACAAGTATGAATATGATTTAAATGTTATTCATGAACCGACATCAGTAAATGTATTAACTTTCAGATAACCGTAAATAATGATCTTATGTTGAATGAATCGAATCCGAAACACACTTTAGTTCATTAAATGTTAAATGATGACCGAAGCTATTAAAAACTTATGGATCGAATACCGATAAAAATAGTCATGAAACACTGAACAAACGTTTCGTTCTACTATGGGACTCCTCACCAATGTGCAAATATAATCCCACTGAAGATCGAATCCATGACTTTCTGATCTCTCATCAAACACTCAACTTACGGGTCACATATTTGCCATTCATTAATTTAAATTTCTAACCTCAACCAATTTGGGATATTCAACAACTAATTTATAAAATTTATTAACATCTGTGATCAAAAATTTCATCATGCTACTTCTGTATAGTGAGCATTAGAGGTAAATAAGAGCTTACTGACCGATACCTACTTACTTTGATAAGAAGCAAAGTTACGAACGTGATCAACTATATTTAACTCAACTCAGTAACTGAGTGCGTATTTGTTTAGAACAGAACGTTAATGTTATAACTAGTTTTATTTGTTAGACTACTTAAATGAATGGAAAAAGGAACTATTATTTCAATTTAATTTGTAGCGGCTCGAATTATTCCCTTGTTGATACTTTGACTGAAATTTGATCAATCTTGCTTGCCATATGTGCATTCAGTGTGGATTGCTTCAATATAGTCAATATGGTACACGTTTGTATAGAATAGATAGAATTTAGCTTTCAGTGGGATGAGGAATATTCACTATAGGACTCGAACCCAGTGCCATCCCAAATATGATGAATTCCAAAATTACATACAATCCATCTATTCCATATTAAACTATCATTTCATTTCAATTTATCAACGATGTACAGATTCATGTAGTCTACTTGATCCAGAAGTGTTATGCTAAGAATCATAGTAAGATTATACAGATGCCAAAATAGAATAAACAGTATTAGAATTTAAAACATAAGTTTTGAAAGTTTGTGGCTTGTAGATATGATTAAAAAACAACAATTCATAAAGGTCCTTACTAAATTTCCTTCGAGCGGGATATCTAGTAACTTACACCATACCATATTGCCATTGAAAACCATTTCGTTACTTAGATAGAGTAATATACACTTGCAAATCAATCGATAACAATAACATAAGAACTAATTAATGAAATTCACTAACTTTTTAATTTCTGTTACACAATCTTGATCAGGTTCTAATAATATATCATAGATTTTTGTCAACTTTTCATGTTTTGCCTTAGAAGCAATACCAATTAAAGTTATATTTGGTATAAGTTTCATTAATTGTCCTAAAGCAGTTCCCTGTTTGAATAAATAAAAAAATTGGAAATTATCATTTCGAAAAAGAAAATAAAACAGCAACATTGAGAAATATCAGAAGGGGTTTTGTGGACATGATCATAAGTCAATTGAAGGTGAAACTAGGTCCCGTGGGGCGGGGTCATGGATGCGTACTGCTGAGAAGTGCCATATTAGGACGAAACAGTCGTCCAGTGCTTTCAGATTTTCCATGATGGTCTAGCTTCAATTGACTCATGATCATAACTATTGAAATTATATTAAGTTTTTAATATAATTTTAAGGTATCACTTATGATTTGTACCTTAATAGGAAGATTTTCATCATATTTGGGACTTATCATCTAGATGTAGTTGATAGATTAATGTTCATATAGGGAATAAAACCTAGTGCCTTTCATTTCAAACGTTTAATGAGCTATTCACTGAGCCGCTGAGTTCAGAAAATCACTCACTTATCCAACGAGTATAGGGTTTATTTCAATATTAATAAGGACTTAATTTATCCTATTTCTGATAATCAAGATTGAATTTTAATCCGTCTACGTTATCATATGTAAATAATGTGTAGATTCTCTCAATATAATCTTGTTGCAACAAGTATGTATTTAAAAAAAGATGAATTGCCCTGGATTCCACTGTTTGTCACTGTCCAACTAGCATGGAAAAATGAATATTTTGAATCAATCAACAAAGAATGAAAATATAACAACAAAACTGATCAATAGTTCAGTTCTAAATATCAACAACAGGATCATTTAAATCCTGAACTAATTAGTTATTTAACTGTTTTCTGTAGCACCTATCTTTTTAAACAGTATTAAAAAAGATATGAGACAAGTACTTACTGTATAGTCTAATGTACATTCACAAATCAAATTTATCTAATAATACATCGTGTTGTGACGTAATTATTATTACACTGGTAGCATATGTGATCAACAGACTGTTTAAGTCATTTAGCAGCATGAAGTTATTCCAGATAGATTAGTAATAAAGGCTCCATAGCCAAATACTTGAATCCCTACGAATAAGCAACAATGATGAAATCATAACTTACGGACGACCTTTGAGTGATCTTAAAATGACTTAGAAAAGCTTTAAACATTTAATAGTATAGCCCCTAATTAATGTGAGGAGTTAGGTTCAGAAGTTAAAAGTTTAGGTTGGCGATTAGAGTTAGTATTGAAATTAACTATGATGCTACTTAGCTATACATGCCAAAATCCGATTGTATCTATCTTAAATCTGTCATTAATTCATTTATAAATAATATTCCCGCTATAATAATGATTAATGACATTAGTATTTTACTTACTACTCCACCGCCAGCTGAAAATATCAAAACTACATCACCAGAATGAACATTAAGTATATGATAAGTTAAAATATAAGCTGGAATATAAGCAAAGCTAATAATTGCAGCTTTATTAACATCTAATGTTTTTGGTCTTGGTAATATAATTGACTTGATCTTTCCAAATTCATTTGATTCCGTACATTCAACATCTCCAGATTGTGTTGTTGAATTTGTTTGATTAGTATTAGCTTTTTCTATAATTGGTAATACAAGACGTTCACTCCAAGCACCATTATCAAGTAGAACTATAACTGGATCACCAACCTAGAAACAAAATTAAAGAAGGATTCAATCACAAATTTAAAAAACGGATGAAATGTAGTAGGATGAAGGATTTTTGAAAACTGTTTCATTCAAATACAGTTTATATTGGGAGTGAATTCAGTTAGAGAGCCAACGAAAATCCGTGAGTATTAGACAAATGTTCCATTTCAGTTAGGGACTTGTCGATAGCGAACGCTGACAACACGACAAAGTAGATAAATGACTAATGTTTTAATTATCAACTACTAGGTGTCTTCACAGTTCCCGTAAGCTAGTGTCTTCTTCAATTGTTTAGAAAACGGAAGTTTCGTTTATCGACTTTCAATGGTGTGCTTTATCAACGTATCTCAGGCTACGATATATAATGTGGTGTGCGCTACCAACGTCGACAGATATAAGTAGTATGTATCGTCAGTCGAAAATGAAATACCTGGAGGCAGAAGCTCAAAAAAAAAGAACGAGAACAAAGAATCATTGGTGTGGAAAAGAAAGAACAATGAAGCCTGATGCAACTGATTGACATTTAGCAAACGAAGTATTTACTGTATGATTCTCAGATTTTGTTAAGAAATTCTGTAATTTTTTTATTAAAAGACATTCGATTTTCCTCACTTGTGTTCCCGTTCATTACAATACGATGATCCGGTTTACATCAATTCTGAAAGTGACTACTTCACGATGAGAATCAATCTTCGAAGTAAGTATATTTGACCTTCATACGTTGTAATCAAGCAAAATCCGGACAAGTAGATGTTTCGTGTTTTGGATTATCTGTCAGTTTGTACTATCTTTTCGATAAAAAATGTAAAGTGAACATCAAATTTTTTTGAGACTATAATTTATAGAAGACTTTTGAGCAGCACTAAAATGAATTTGAAATGTCCATCACCTTACTAAGGTTAAATGAGGGTTGTAGATTAATGTGAAGAATAACGATTAAAATTTACAGTTGAACGTTAGGGTTAACAATTAAATTCAATGTTTTCATCACAAATTGACATCAGCTATAATACCAAAATGGTATTTAGCCTAATGAGTTGAAGAATTTCGTGCCAAAATCCAACACATGCTATCTTAAATCTAATTGGTTCGTCCATAAATTATATTCTCGTTAGTAATCGGTATCAGATGAAGTTTATTCAGTTATTAAAAGACTCTAATCAATCATATTCTCCAACGAACTGTTTACACCTATGTTTTTGATTCATTCATTTATCATTTTCCTTATTATTACAGATAAACAAACACTTCAAATTCATATAGTTGTACAGTATGATATTAGTGGATTGAAAATCTTTGATTTGTCTTAGCTATTTGACAATTATTGATCTAATTTCATTCCAGCGAAATATTTCTAATAAGTTTCTTAGCTATATATATAGTTTAACTCTGGATGTTAAAATGAAAAATCTGTCGTTAACGCCATTGAATAATATTAGATAGACGATCATTTCGTTTTTGTATGATTACTCCTCAGAAGTATCGATCCGGAAATGTAATGGGGAACAATGATATTTGTAGAATATTGCAACTGGATTATAGTTGGTCAGGTAACTCATTAGAGGCCAATTAAGTGGTTTGAAATATAGGAACACACATCAAGACCTACACGTCCTAGGTCCGATCTCCATTGATGTTGTTGTAGATACACACAGATGAAGAGTTCTATGTTAGTTCAGCACAACTGTACAGTTCTGTAGTGAACAGGAACACGGGTGGGGACAGTCGAATGTATTTAACACAAATTACAGGACTTGTTAATAAAATCTAACAATCATAAAGTAAATGCTTAATTTGCAAAATGTCCACCAATTGTCTCAAAATGACTCAGACTTCATTGTTCTTTCATTTTCATACAAATTTCATTCTGTTTCCATTCTTTACTGTTCGATCCTCTTGTCTCTCTGCTGCCAGACCTTCTGTTCACGACTAACATCATCTACTTATGTCAATATCAGTAGCACACACCACAGTTGTACTAAGTTGTGATTAACTGCGTAACAATAATCACTGTAACGTAAGCTACAGAATTCAATATTTTCCGAAAATTCCTCTGTATTACGAATACACAAGTTATTTGATAACTGGAAAACGTTACTCCAGATTTCTAAATATGACATTATCTACCAGGTATAACATCCTGTTGGGATATCAACACATAAGCAACGAACGAATACATGTTTTGAATTCTATTTTCGCTTACTATATAGTCAACAGTAAAAACCTATTCATTAGTGAATTGAGGTATTTTCTTCATCATCCTATACGGTATTACCGAGTGACAGACAATCATTCAACTTAATGATCAATAGATTTTACAGTTTTCAAATGGTGTTCACTGATCGCATGTGTAATTAGGAAGTGTACAATGATGAATATCTCAATAAAGTGCGTCAGCTGAAAGGATTTCGTCTTTACAAGACAAAAGTCAGAGTTTTGTAAATTTGAATTGTGACTAGCGAGGGCGGCCTGCTTGAGCATCTGGGCTACCTGTTCCTGCCATCTAGATATTTCAACAAGTTATCTATTGTTGTTTGTTTTAATATATCATTATGTTTATTAATCGCATAACCTATTCTGCTGCGTTTCTGAAAAGTGTACAACCTTTCGTTGTCAAAGTTACAGAAAACTCAATAAGAGACAATATGGTTGCTGGCAATGTACAACGAAAAGAATGCACATTATTCAGTTGTTCATTCACTGAAGTGCTAACATCTAACTGGCGTTTCCTCAATATTTATCGCCAGGACCGACCAAGAAGAAAGAAACGGTAACTTGTTGAAATAATTTGAGCTGAGAATTCTATATTGTACCAAAATTATAATATTGAATAAAGCTAATAATAATAATAATATAATAATCCTGAATATATGTTTTGTACTGTAAAATTCATTCATTGAACAATCTGTGGAATGTCCCAGACTAGCCACAATTCAAAAATATTAGACCATGTTACTAAAACTAATCTGTAGAGACGCATCCACTCAAATTATACATACACCAATAAAAACTCCTCTAAATTTAGTCCAAACCTTTAGAAATAAAAACAGTTGAATAACACTTTATTCAACTCATCAGTTTTCGAGTAACAAATAATAACTATTCCACCTTCACATAAAGCTGATGATGAATATGCCAACCGTCAAGAGTTAAAGCTAAGGTTTTCATAAAGAATTACCATTAGCTATAATTCAGGAGTCTTTAACTAAAATATTCTAGTCTTAGTCTCAATGTATGCAGCGAATTTTACTAGATTTGGATAACTCATGATTGACTTAACGGTTTTAGGTATTAATATGATTCAGTGCTACAGCTTAGTAGCTGTAAAACATTTTGAATTCACAGTATACTACAGTGTAATTGAATTTTTATTCTTTCCATATCATCTACAAAGATATAAAGTGAATACAGTCTACATCTAAGTTTTTATTTATGTGTAACAGGACCCATATAGATAGAATTAATGAATTCATAGACAAGTAATTAGGGTAATTACTGATTATCTCATTAAATATGATGTAATCACCATGATCAAAGTAAATATTAACGCTCGTTACTCTCAAAACAGGAAGTAAACATATAGAATGATGAAATCTAAAATAAATGATAGATGTATATATTAACATAAATCAGCTTAATTGATGAATAATCCTTTTTACTATAATGGTTTGTATTGGTTATTCTGTCTGAAACAGAACAGGAAGGGAGTGAAATAGCTCCCACATCAATTTCTTTACATATGAATATATATCATCCTTATAAATTGACGGTATTAAAGTAATGATATTTCATATATATAGTTCCCTTAATTACCTTTAAAAGAGTTAGATAAAGTATTTAAGTAAGAATTATATGAATTCCTTCTATCTTCTGTATAATTCTGAATTTCAATAAAAGCATTTATACTGTTTCCTTTTATTCTACGCAAAGATGGATAGTGGCTAGCATTAGAATTCAGGACACATGTTTCGTCCCATTAAAGACTAGTCAGTTGGATGCATTTGCATCCCAGAGTTGATATTCACTATGGGACTTAAACCCAGTACCATTCACAATCGCGTTATCTACTTAGATATTGAGTCCTGATAGCCATTAGCTTGTACGATGGGGTGTAGTTTAATTCATTTTGGCATTGGTTGTTTGAATCTTCCCATTGATGTTTGAGACTGCAATTGATTAGTTTGTTCTTGGTATATGTGCATCTTGTGCGGATTGTCTTGATATTGCATTCCATCATACAACCAATACGAAAATGTTTCCTTTTGGTTATGTGGTTCATCAGTTTATTTTATTTTATAATAGGAAATCTATATATTGATATATTCAGTCATGAACCATACTTGATGAGTAAAGAATAAAGTTATAATACTGGTATAATAACTGAACCTATAGACTATGGGGCTGAAAACTAAACTTTTCAATTATTATTTCATCATAGCACATAACAAACGGTTAAACAAAATCATATCAAAACATTTCACGAGATGTCTGGTTGCTTAAAAGAGTGGCCTCATTTTAAGTTGACAGATACAATTCATTAGCACTAAAGACTAGGCAAATAGTGGATTGTTTACTACCTGACTGTCAGTCGATGTAATTATCTCTTATTAGTAATACCTGAGACTGGCAAAGTAAATAATTGGAATGAAACCCTACAGGGATTCACCAGTCCTTTTATTGGTACAGACAAAACTTGCTGATGATTTGCAGTTAGCACGAATATTAGGCTGACGGTTTCCTACGTATAAACTCGAACTATCCAATGTCAAAAAATTTTGGCTGGGCTGAAGAATGGAGAGGAGACAATCAAGTTTTACAAAGCGACTAAAAAGTTGATGAAACGATCATGTTTATCAACAAATGTATGCATTCTACTTACGAAAAGAATCCCATGCGTACGCGCGAGTCGGAAAGGAATACTTCCAAGGGGTATATTACGGGGCTTTAATTGCGCTAACCAGTCGTCAAGAAAAACCTGCCGTTGTTAAATTTCAATCCTT